CAGCAACAGCAACAGCAACAGCAACAGCAACAGCAACAGCAACAGCAACAGCAACAGCAACAGCAACAGCAACAGCAACAGCAACAGCAACAGCAGCAACAGCAACAGGCACAGGGGCATTTGGCCACCCAAGCTCGGACGAGGAAGAGGGCGGAAATCTACGCCGGCACTTTTGGAGGGCTGGCCGTCGTCGTCGTTGTCATCCTGGTCGCCGTACTGGCCACCAGGAAGATCGGGGCTCGTACTCGTCCGGGCCATGCTCTGGTGCGTCGGGTCTGGAGTTGTCTCGGGTCGATGGCGATGGCAGGCAAGAACGATAGACGAAGGCCGAGTGTTGGTGTTGGGGTCGGATACCACGCTCTGGCGATGGAGGATCAGGACGACCAAGGCCATGGAGGGCCGTCATGACAGATCCGTCGTGAGCTGGGTTTGGGTTTGGGTTTGGGTTTGGGTTTGGGTTTGGTTCGGGCTCTGCAGAGCTGCCGCATTGTGTCTGGATACTGGATACTAGATACTGGATACTGGATACATGAAGAGTGTGGATGAGGGCCGCGGGAACGGTTGGCCCTTTTCTTAAGACCTCGTGCACTGGGTTACAGTACTGTAATGTAGCCTCGTGCATACGGTTACAGTAATATAGCATGTAGAATGCAGATGAAGCATGTACTGTCTACTGTACCAATCACTACAGCCCTACGGGGTATCCGTATAGTTCCCTATCCCTCAGCACCTGGGCAGGAACCAACATGTCGGACCGAGTTGGCTGTGCTAATGAAAAGAACAAGGAAAGGACAAGGCCAAGGACAAGGACAAGGAAAGGAAGAGGAGAGGAGAACGGTATAGACCCAGCATGTAGGAGAAGAAGCATGCCGTGACCCGCACGATTGATGTATGGCAAGTCGAGGCTTCGACGTGGCGGTGGCACTGGGATGGTGGGCGGGTGGGTAGACAACGTATGCTGTCTACGTAGGTAGTCTACTTGAGGTAGAGTAGATAGTAGATACGTAGTACTCCGCCCACCCGATCGAACGAATGCGTATGTGCGTATGTGCGTATGGACTCTGTATAGGGGGGTGGGATCACCGTGGAGTCCACTGTCCAGGGACGCGTACGCAGGCATTCGTAAGAGAAGGGAAGGCGAAGGCGATGGAGTACGCGATGGAGTACGGGATGGCGATGGAGATGGAGACGGAGATGGACCCGGAGAGCCATCTCCGGCCCAGACGGGACTGTGGGCACAAATACAGAGTGAGTCGTACGTACACCTCCTAACCATTTCCTGCTAACCCTAACCCTAACCCTACCCTAATATTGATACTGTACTCTGTATAGTACTCTGTATCCTACAGTATGTGCCATGTTGACCATGTTGATATCCCAGTTAGTCCCAATCTTGGATCCAAGTACTGCGGGTTTGACAGCACGTCTCTTCTGCCTGTCTGCCATCTGCCTATCTACCCCTGACGGTCTAACTGTCAATGCCTCGTAAATCCCAAAAGTGGCCCTGACTGACTGACAGCCATCAAACGTCAAGACTGGAGTTGCATATCCATCCATACCTACTGTAGACAGAGGTAGACAGGACCCAGTGGGTAGTGTAGGTACCTAGGTACATTGACTGGTACAGTAATAGGTAGCTAAGGGACCTCCCACCGATACCCGACACCCGAGTGGTGTGGTGTGGTGTTCACCCCCTGGGTAGATACTGACAGTACTGTATACCATCTACTCACCATCTACTCTCCGTACTCTGTCTGTATCTTGTACCGAGTAGCTGGACTTGGACTTGAACTGTCTTAATCACATCCAGCACGTACTTGAACGGCTGGTTAGACCACGGTAGAGCTCCGCATTCGTCAGTACAGTATTTGAGTCGACTTCTCCGAGACTTGACTCATACCCCTGGCACTGCACTGTCGGATCCTTCACCACCACCACCACCACCACCACCTGGTACAGACACGGACACGGATATATCTTTATATGTGCATGTCATGTCCATGTGCATGTCTGTATGATATCGATATATCCGAGAATCATACACATCACCTCCCTGCTGACCCTGAACCCGAACCAACATGTCACCACCGCACGACATGAACGTTGACATTGAGTCGAAACCCGCCCGCCCCCCGCCGCCGTCGTGGGCGTCGGTGCCCAACAAGTTCCAACTGTTCGTCATCTGCACGGTGCGCATCGTCGACTTCTTCCAGCAAGCAGCGCTGCAGGCCTACATGTTCTACCAGCTCCAGTCGTTCTCGCCCTCGGCGCCCGACAGCCAGATCTCGTTCGAGGCCGGCGTGCTGCAGGGCGTCTTCACCGCGGCCCAGATCGTCACCGGCATCGTCTGGGGCCGCGTGGCCGACTCGCCGGCGGTCGGCCGCAAGGGCGTGCTGCTCGTCAGCCTGACCGGCCAGGGCCTGAGCTGCGTCGGCCTGGCCTTCTCGCGCAGCTTCCACACCGCCGCCGTGTGGCGATGCCTGGGCGGCGCTGTCAACGCCACCGTCGGTGCCGCCAGGACCTCGTTGGCCGAGTGCACCCACAAGAAATACCACTCGCGCACCTTCCTGCTGCTGCCGCTGGCCTGGAACATCGCCAACATCTTCGGCCCGCTGTTCGGCGGCCTGCTGTCCGACCCTGTGGCCAACTACCCAGCCATGTTTGGCGAGAACACTGGCGGAGACCCGAACGCGAACCCGTCCAGCACCGGCACTGGCGCCGTCTCCGTCTCCGTCTCCTGGCTCACCACATTCCCCTACGCCGCGCCCAACCTGTGCTGCGCCCTCTTGCTGTTCGCCGACGCCCTGCTCGTCTGGCTGGGCCTGCGCGAGACCCTGATCACCAAGCGGGACGACCGCGACCGCGGCCTCGAGCTGGCCGAGTCTTTGCGCCATCGCTTCCGCCGACTCGTCTTCCGCCGCTTCGGCTACGTTCAACTCGGTCAGAGCGAGACCAACACGAACATGCCCGATACACTCGACATCGACATCGATGACGAGGCCCTGCCGTCCAGCACCAGCACACCACTCACCCCTCTCCCGCCCAAGGAAGTCGACCAGTTGAACACGAAGATGAAGACGAATACCGTGACGACTACCATGACGAAAACGAAAACGAATACGGCCGAGGCCTGGGTCGAACCCCCCAAGGCCGCGCCGCCCTTCTACCACGCGCTGACGTCCAACGTGCTCCTGGTGCTGGCGACGGTGGCGGTGATGGATTTCCAGATGGGCGGGTTCGCGTCGCTGTGGACGATTTTCCTGTCGACGGCGCGACGCACGGCCGACCAGCCAGTGCGGCTTCCGCTGGTGTTCACGGGCGGGCTGCAGTTCTCGCTGGCGACGATCGGGCTGGCCATGTCGATTCTGGGCCTGGTCGGCATCTTCCTGCAGCTGACGCTGTACCCGTCGGTGAACGCGCGGTTCGGCCTGCTCCGGTCGACGCGGTGGTCGCTGTTCGTGTTCCCGCTGGCCTACGCGCTGGCCCCCTACCTGTCGCTGCTGGTTGACCGGCCCGTGCTGCTGTGGGTCGGCATTGTGGTCGTCGTGCTGCTGCAGGTGGCGGCCCGCACCTTCGCCATCCCGGGCTCCGTCCTGCTCATCAACAACTCCAGCCCCAGCCCGGCCATGCTGGGCACCATCCACGGCATGGGCGCCGCCACTTCCAGCGCCTTCCGCACCGTCGGCCCCATCGTCGCCGGTCACTGGTACGCCCGCGGTCTGGACAAGGGTGTTGTCGGCTGGGCCTGGTGGTGGCTGAGTTTGGTGAGTTTGGTCGGTGTGGTGCCGAGCTTTTGGGCCCGAGATGGGAGATGAGTCTGTCATGAGCATGGAAAGTGTCTTGTCATGGTGTGGCATGGTGTGTCATAATCATGGGAATGAGTATCTTGTCATGGTCTGTCATGAGCATGGGAAAAGTGTCTGTCATGGCGTGTCATGATCATGGGAACTTGTGTCGCGACACGCTCATTCGGCCACCTTGTCCCTTGTCCTTTGTCGCCCGGCTCATTCGGTGACATTTACCTTGTCCCTTCTGACCTGAGGTCCAGTCCGGGCGTTTTGACCAAATTATCAGAGGTGAAAGACAGAAGACAGAAGGGAGGCCAAGAGGAAAAGGGAGGAGGACGTGGAGACGGGGATTAGGCCCATTCTTCTGGTTCGGTCTCACTCATGACTGGCCTCAGGCGGTCTCCTTTTCAAAGACTGACGATGGACCGGAGCGTTCTACAACTCATCGAGCTTCACTCATGCTTCCCGCCATAGCACATGGTATGGGATTGCCTTATAAGGTCTATTGAGTATGTGAGTACTCTGTACGGAGTGTAGCGTCTCATTTGACGCCGAACTCGAAAACACAGGTCAGGTCAAGTCAGTTGACTGCCACTCACCGAGTGTAATCATTCATTGCCTTAGGTATTGCTAATGCTATTGCTAATGCTACCTATGAATAAGATTAATCGATATGATGATGATTGTTGTTACCTCACAGGTGTTTGATGTGCGAGATAGATCTCCGGTAAACGTGTCTTCCGGAATCCAGGACCGTGATACTGTAGGCTTAACCCCTCTCCGCCTCTTTCCCCCCGCTTGGCGCGTTCCATGTTCCATGTTGAGCCTCCTAAGCCTCGTCGGCCTAAGCCCCTGAACCCCCGGTCTAGAGTCCTGTCCACTGCAGTGACTTTGGAAACAACACTGTTACTAGCTTGAGTGTTATTAGGTGTACTCCGTAGGTACCTAAGGTATGATCAGCTTACCAGCTACCAGCTACCGTATCATTGATACTTTCGACTTTTGACTTTCATCTCTCTACTCACTCAATCCTCCATGGCATACCATACCATATGCCATGCATATCTCTAGAGACCTCTAAGAGAACCTTCTCAGTGATTCCTAATTACTACCTATTGCCTACCTAGGTAATTACTACCTCTTGTGTCGACCGATCCACCCTCCCCCTCGACCCGACTTGGACTTGGACTTGACACTACACTCGACACAACTGCAGTCTCAGCCAGGTGGGAGCGAGCGCCACCATACCGGCACGATCACATCACATTGGACCTGATCACATCACATTGATGATAATAATCACATAATAACTACTAACTACAAGCTGCAACGTCGCTATGGTATGACCTACGCATGACTAGCCTCGCTGAAATCGGAGGCAAGGCGACGGCTCGGTTCGGTTTCGTTTCGTATCTCGATGATGAAATAAATCAAAGGCAAGGCAAGACGACGGACGGTTTCGCATCTCAGCCGTGAGTGCCGAGTGTCGAAAGAGTAAAGAGTATCCGTACTCCGTCGAGGAGTATGGAGTATGGTTGGTGGTTGGTGGTTGATGGTTGGTATATGAGCAGCAGTCCCCGGGGAAAGTAATGACTTTCTCTCTCTCCTCGTCTGTCTTCCTCTGTCTTCCTGTCTTTACTGTTCCAGTCTCCTTCATTTTCATCTCGTCGTTCTTTGCCGCAGCTGGTCTGTCGTTTTCGTTCTACTGTGTTCGCTCCATTCAATCATCACACTGGGCAGTTCAATCATCACGCTGAGCAATTCAATCATTACACTGAGCAATTCAATCATGACACTACGCTGAGCAGTTGCTTGATTCTCGATCTTTCACTTGAGCAGTTGTCGATTCACTGAACCAGTGCGATCTCAACCAGTGCGATCTCAACCAGTGCGACTCACTCAACCAGTCCTCTCGCTCTCGCTCTCTGTGTCCGGCCCTCCGCAAGCACCCATCTGCAATATCGTCAACCGCATCCCCTCCGCACCCATCCACCATGTACTTCTCTCCCGCCACCATCCTTCTCGGCCTCGTCGCCCTCTCCGCAGCCGGTCCTGTGGGCACCAAAACCAGGGTCAAGCGAGCCCTCACCGCCCGACCGTACAGCGAATTCCAGGTTTCGGATGGCGTGGCGGGCAATGCGTTGGCCGAAGTCAACGCCCAATTCCCTGTACGTATACTGTTTGCCTGTCTACAACCACCTCCACCTTAAGAAGAAAAGGAAAAGGAAAAGCATGAGAACCAAACCACCTCCACCTTAAGAAGAAAAAGAAAAAGAAAGGCATAAGAAGCAAACCTCCTACAACGGCTACACGGAGCAGAGCAGAGCAGAACCAGAAACTAGAACCAGAAGAAGAAGCTGAACTAACTACTCATGTGTATCAGATCGACACCTCCGACCTCGCCTCCGTGTCGGCATCCGACCTCCAAATCATCCAGGACGCCCGTGTGACCGCCGAAGACGCCGAGACTGGCACGGGCGGGTTCAACGACGAGATCGCCGCGGCCGGAGACGCCGACACCACGGCGCTACAGAACGGGAAGATCAAGAACAAGGTGCTCAAGCTGCAGTTGGAGGTGTTGGCGCTGCAGATCCAGGCTGCCCAGGGAGACGCCGACCAGGCCAAGATCGACGAGGAAACCACCAAGCTCAACAACAACATCGCCTTGGACAAGAAGGCCGCAGGCCAGGAGAGTGTTGGCGTCACTGCCACTTTTAATGGAGACTAGGGTGGAAGACTCACTGCCACCTTCAATGGAGACTAGGGGGTGGAGAGGTCTTAAGGTCTGCCGACTATCCTACTATCTGACTGAGTTATAGCTACTATACCTAGCTCCCCACGGCGGTCAGGCCAAAGTAGTTGAAGTACAGATATCACAGGGAGCCCAGCCAGTAACTATCACTGTCACTGTCACTGCTCCGTACAGAATACTAGTCTACGTTTCCATGTCCGTATACTATAGAAGTCGGACTCGGACTCGCCGGGAATGAATCTCATTCATTCCTACAATCTACAATCTACAATCTACAATCTACTGTCACCATCACCATCTGCGCTCTCTGCTTTACCTCGAAGGTGATGGGCACAAGGATAACCAACCCCAGGCCTAGAGACCCTTCACACTGCTGAACTACAGTACCGTTCGCCCATGTACATGTACTGTACATTCGTGGATGCCTGAGCCTAAGCCCGCCACCGTGGCTGTGGCACGTGTTAAGGTGGCTGAGCACAGCGGACAGCAGACAGCAGACAGCAACAGGGGACAGGCTCAGGCTCAGGCTCCAATGCTGCTGCCCGATACGCTCGCTAATTACCTACCTACGTACCTAGTCTACTATACATACAGTAAGTACTCCGCCCCAGTGGCAGATAGTATGTGGTCATCTTCCCATTTCCCACGGCGGGGCTCTTCTACAACCTCAACCTCAGCCTCACGCACCCACCCGCACACTCCCACACGCCCACACTCCCACACGCCCACACTCCCACACGCCCACACTCCCACACGCCCACACGCTTCATATCATATCATATCACAATTGCTTGATGGCAGTGGTATGGCTGAGACAGAGTAGCATCATTCACTGTGTCATACAGTAAGTGCTCAGTGAGAAATCGAAAGACGGCCGGACGAGCCATATATGTCCTTCACGCTTCCACGCTCTCGCTCTCACGCTTCACGCTTTCGAGCCTCTCCGCGACAACGTCCTTTCACCCTTTCACGCTTTCACGCTTTCACGCTTCACGCTTCACGCTTTCAAGCCTCTCCGCGACAACGTCCTTTCACCCTTTCACCCTTTCACGCTTCCAAGCCTTGACGTGACATCGTACGGTCCTTCCTATTCCTGATTCTCGTGCGAATCGACCAAGTCCAACCCGTGCTCGAGGTCATGCAAGATTCATATTAGTGTTGTGCCTCTCGACTCCAGAACTGGGCGGCAAGTGACGCCACCAAGACCAGTCTCTGTTGACTGAACGGCAGCAGTGAATGATAGAATTGATCATTCCTAGGGTAGCTCGACCTTGGCTGAAATCTGCTCTCGAACAAGGCACGGCACATTAAACATCTTGATCGAGGCTTTCCAAAGTGTGTCACACATCTACCATGGCTCACGACAGTCATCGCAGCAACCAGGAGACTCCCAGCAATACCGTTCTAGACCATTTGGTTCTAGAGAAGCCCCCTTCGGACTATTCCAACAAGATTAGGTTATATTTCGATCCGGCTGTCTCCATACACGATCGTCTAGATTTGTTACAAGCGCAACTACCCATTATCCCTCAGGCGATTTATAACACAGATGATTCCATCCACCTCTATTTCAGCAGCACCTACAAAGCTGAATCAGCACAAAGATATCTTTGTGAGTACACGACTCTCAAACTTCCAGAGACAGTAGCCTTCGGGCGATGCTGACAACGCGTCATCAGGCAACACTTCATTGAAGCCGTTCTTCCATACCGTTGATATCGGCATAACGGTAGATTTCAATTATGGGATACTGGATCCATCTGTCATACTTATGAGCGGGTTCGACCTCGCACCAACGAAGAAGACCTTCGGACCTTCGTCTACATGGCAACCAACCTGCCTAAGCGATCGGTTATTTTAGCAACACTGAAGACTGGCAAGCTCTCTAGACACGCGTTTATCGGGCTCTCCTCACAATCTGACCTCACAAGCGTGATGGAGAGATTAGTTGGCAAAGCCTATCAGGGGAGGATCATACGCAAATCCCTGGACGAAGAATACCCCGACGACACCAACATGACCCGGCAAGCAGATGACACGGACCTTTGGCCTGCTTCCTCCCGAGCTATAGACACAGTCTTGGAAGGACGTGAAAGTGGTACGCTGGACTGATGCGGACTATGGCTGCCTGATGGCTGACACGTACTGTAGCAGGACAAATCCCAGTAGCATTTCCTGGGCTTCCCAGCAGCAGAACACATGAACAAGCAGACTCTGATGGCGAAAGATCGGATCTCACCGGGGCTGTTGGCTTTTCGCATGCCGAAGCAGCACCACGATATCTATTCAAGCAAAAGCGCAAGTTGGGTGACTTGGATGATGAGAGTGACACTGTCCAAGATGCCCGCAAACGGCGTCTCAAACAGCATGCGGCGGCCGAGTCGGAGCCTAGGCACTCTGGCATCCCTCCTACAGGCACCACCTCACCACTCGTCATGACCGTGGTGAAATACACCATCTCAGAAGACAGATCTGGAGGTGTTGAGGATGAAAAGGCCAGATTGTTGGGCGGTCTACGCCAAAGGCCAAGTCTTCTGTCTCTGCTGCCGCAACGTTGGGTATAGTCTATTTGGGCGGAACCCACAGGGACAGCCTTGGTAGAAGGCAGACATGGGATTAACTCGTCAAGTTTTGATCTTCTTTTCGTTGAACCTACATACTCCGTCTAGCTCAGACTCCTATTCTACTCCTTTCCCTTCTCTGAACACAGGCAAGGTCTAATTGATACTGGAGATCGTGGTAGCAGTAGGTACTCCCCCAAGCGCAGTCTTACCTGTCCATCAAGTGCAAGACAGCCACCCGTGTTGAGCAGGTAGTCAGACTGGATGATCTTGCCACTCTGAATCTGGTCGGAAGAAAAGGAGGAGGAAGGTTAAGGTGGTGATAGCACCATCGCGCAACTCAGCAGCTATTCTAGTAATGTGTGATGCATTATGTTGAAGGTATCGGACCTGCCCTCTGAACGATCCTGTAATTCTTGAAATACATGTCCTTCTTAGGGCGAGGGAGAACCAAAGGTACCAGGTACCAATGACATTACAGACGTAACGGGTCTGGGCAAGTCTTACAACGTCCAATCCCTTTCTCCGCCCAAGATGCCGCAGATTCGAGGATCGGGCGACACATCCTAGATGTTGGCATACCTCCCATTCGTCAGCAGCGTCGGGATGAACTGCATCCTTTTCTGGAGGTCCTCTTTGGGGTGGCTTCCGGAAAGACATCCTATGTCACGAGAGTTTCGGCGAAGGCGCTGAGGTCGGTGCTGTTGGCGTTGACGTCTGTCGCGTTGAGGTATTCGGCAACCGCATCCGTTCGAGGGCTCCAGGACTGGAATGGTCGGAACGAAAGTCAGCAACAGGGAAGAACTTCAAATTTAAATTCGGACCAAGGTCTGCTGGAGCACAGAATGCGGGTACTATGCAGCAAGTAGCGGTGGGGACAACTGACCTGTCACATTTGCACGCGCGACCACATCCCAGCTGGCCGGATACTGACTCGGGATTGATGCAAATGCACTGAGCTCTTCATGCTGCGACAGCGTCGATGTCAGATTGAGCTCGTCAGGGATATTGTGGGCCCAACAAGCTGCAATGACAAGGGTGGAGACGAAAGAGTCGAGTCCGCATTGGCGATTGCTGGCGAGGCAGCCCTGGTCTCAACTCTAGGACAGAGCGACTGACTGACTGACTGAAGCGGTGTAACCGTTAGCTTGCTAGGTTCTCTGTAACATGTGAGAAGGGCAGTCCTGGGCTCGCATTCGCACGTCCGGCGCCTCAGTTAGGACTAAGACCACGCTTGTCGACCTGAAAGTGAGCCTGCGGCCACGATCGAGATGGCTCTTGGATCAGTGCATGAAACCTGGAGTTGTCAGTCCATGATTTGTGAGCAACAGAACAGACACAGTATCGCAGTCTGCAGTCCGCAGTCAACCATAGATCTCATGGTTCCAAGTGGAGGTAGACAGCGACCGAGGGATCCCTAGGCTTGAGCCTTGCAGGGGGGGCTGGCTGCAGAGTTGAAAGGTCAAAGGGCTGGGCCCTAAGGCAGACTGCGTCGAGAGGAATACGAGGACTGAGGATCTCGACCGCTGAACACAAGAATTCCCACCACCACCACTGTTCGTCATGGATAGCTTTGTCTCTCTTTGCGAGGGGTTGGCATGCCGCAAGAATCGAGCTAAGCTGGTCCTTCGCGAGCTTGCTTTGGGCTTGAATTGTGATGCTCCCTCTGATACGGCGCCGATACAGCGGTCGGAGCAATCAAAAGGCAGATCTGCTCGCGAGCTGAATGCGCGACAGAGTAGAGGAGAAGAGGCGAGCTGAGGGTTCATCGATCCCTGCCTAGAGCCATAAAGTAGCGTGGAGTACGTACTACGGACAGTCGTAGAACAAAGGACAAGGATCAGGAGCGGAAAACCAGGGGTGAGGGCGAGAAGACAAGGATCTGGAGAAGAAATGCAGGGATCAAGGCGCAGTCTGCAATAGTTGCCAACTCACTGCAGTGGCCGTCACAGGGTCACACAATCCAGCCAAGAGGAGACCAGGGCGCAGGTGGTAGGCGGGTGGCTGAATGCGGTCCTTCGGCGCGCCTACAGTAGCCTAAGCCCTTAAACACTTCCCCTACCATTCCCGTGTCCTGGCCTTAGGCCCCCAGGTGGCACAGTAGGTGCAGTATGTAGGTGCTAGGGGTGCCAGGGGTGCTAGGCATGTAGGTGCTGTCGTCGGTAGTTAGACGAGGGAAGACTGCCATTTGCACCCCTGACACCGCCCATTCAGCAGCAGCATGAGGTGTGCAGCGCAGCGACACAGAGTCCCGCTGCTCGCGGCTCAGCCCAAAACCATCTTGACCAGTCCTCCTCCTCCCCCCCCCCCTCTCTCTCCCTCTCTTGTCTCTGATCGAGATCTCCGAGTGTTACAGACACCAAGAGCAAGCCAACCATGGACCTCGACCCCTATGGCAGTAAGCCTTTCGGCTCTGAAGAACATGATGCCCGTCGCAGCTCTCACACGCACACATACTTGCGCCCACTCGCGCCCACTCGCCCTGGTACATCTTTTGACGCTCCCACCAGCGATGATCTGATGGTGGTCGGAGAACGCTCAGTGGTGCCGGAGGCCTTTCCGGAAAGACGAGGTAAACGGCCTAGGGGATATGATCCTGTCCGGGGCCACCAGCACCATCTGGAGGACAGCCAGCCGGAGACGGGGGTTAGCAGGTCAATTGAGCCCAAACGAGCCAAAATGTCTAGGGCTCAGGCTCCAGCTCGGTCAGTCGAAGGACACTACGGCGAGCATCATGAAGCTGAAGCTGGGTATGTGCCCGTGCGAGAGCGAGAGCGAGAGCGAGAGCGACAGCATGAGCACGAGAATGCTTCGACTATCTCCCTGGCAGAGCCCCTGACTTATCATCATCATCGTCCTCCTCAGTCTCAGCCTCAGTATGAGCATCAAAACCAGAGTCAGAATCAGCTTCAACAACAAAATCAGCCGCAGCCTCATTCGACCAGCGCCCTACAGCCTTCAACGAGCTCCGTGACCTATCTCCCAGACCTAGCTACTGGGCAGGACGTCGGCACCAGCACCGGAATCGGCATGTCCAGCAGCATCAGCAGCGCCCCCATCGTCGAACCGCCACAGTGCATCATCGTTCATCGAGTGTTATGTCATAATAATCAGACCGCGGGAGAGGATCACTCGAAGCACCTCACGACCGCCTATTTCCTGGACGCACCGCGACTGTTTGCCAGAGACAGTCGCGGCCACGCACTCCGGGGCCGCGACCGTGTCACCGACGTCGACGAGTACCTCGAGACCCATCCCATGGTGAGCATGGTTGTGTACCGAGACTACGACTGCGGTGAGTACCACCGCATGGTGCGTGACGAGTTCCAGCGCGTCGCACCGGACAACATGGACCAGTCTCTGTTCCTGAGTTTCAAGGCCTGGTTTTACTGTCTGGGCCACGACACCGAACCGGCTGTCGCCCAAAAGGAGTCGCTGGACTTCGTGTCGGTTGAGCTGCAGGAGGCTCTGGACGCCGTCGTCAGAAACAGCAGGGACACCGCGAATGCCGTCAGTCACTGGAACGAGCCGCGCAATCTGGCCGCACCCTACGACTATTTCTACCACCACTCGGCTACTTTTGAGAACGAGTCGAGGGGGTTGGAATGGAGGCATCAGTTGCAGATCGGGATGTTGTTGGACTACATCCGCTCCGAGTTCGGCAGCTTCTATGACGAAGCCAATGCCTCATTCGAAAGAGGCTGGGTCGCCCGTAAACACTTCCCACTTCTCTTCCGCTCCAATGAGATCGTGGTGGCGCACCAGGAACGGGACAAAAGCGAGCTGGCGTATATGATCGAACGATATGAGGGAGAAGAACAAGAAGGCATCGTGCTTCATTGTTGGTCGTGGCAGTTCGACGGCGCGTTCAAGAAAACCCCCATCAAACTGACCGTGCCGTGGCCCGAGACGTTCGAGCCGTGCGTCAGCATCACTGCGCTGAAAGTATGGCCTCTTCGCCTCGACAGGTCGGGTCTCTTTGGGAAACTCAAAAGGCGTGGACGAGAGTTCTGGAGTTGTAGGAAGAGAAAGCTGGTGAGCTATGCGGCGCCACGAGCGACCAACTTTGAGCTGCAAACGGTATGTCGAGAAGACTTTGACTTGATGCTTCGGGATCTGACAAGACATTGCAGACCAATCCGAAGTACATGATTGACACCGAGACATACAAGTACCTGCACCCCAAGCAAGATAAGTTGAGCGTGACAGACCACCCAACAGAAGTGATTGGAGTAGATACGGTCGAGCCTCCGGACGATACATTCTTGCTCCTGCTGCCGGCGACTATCTTGGGATACGGATTTCATGATAAGCGATGGAGTAAAACATACCTCTGACTCTTCGGCCCTCGTTTCAGCACTGACTTTGTTTTCAACAGGAACGCTGGAAGTGGCCCATCTGACCGAGATCCCGTGGAACGAGACCGCCTTGGACCGAGTGGTGCTCAAGGACATCAAGAAAGAACTCATCAAGGCTCTGGTCAAGACGCAGCTGGAGAAGAGCAAGGCTGCCGATGTGGTGGAGAACAAGGGTAATGGCATGATCTTGCTGTTGCACGGACCCCCGGGTATGTACGGACAGGATACTGATGGCTATTCAAACCCCTCAGCTTGGTTTTTCTATGATCTGACTTTTCACCAGGTACCGGCAAGACTCTAACAGCAGAAGGCGTGGCAGAGTACGCGCGGAAGCCTTTGTACCGTGTGACGTGCGGCGACATCGGCACGGAGCCGGAAAGCGTGGAGAAGTACCTCGAAGGCGCGCTCTACCTAGGCACGATCTGGGGTTGTGTTGTGCTCCTGGACGAGGCCGACGTCTTCCTCGAGGAGCGGAGTCAGACCGACTTGGTGCGCAACGCACTGGTGTCGGTCTTCCTCCGCGTGCTCGAGTACTACGAAGGCATCTTGATCTTGACTTCGAACCGCGTCGGCACCTTTGACGAGGCCTTCAAGTCCCGCATGCAACTGGCCGTCCAGTACCCGCATCTCGACGAAAAAGGCCGGTCGGAGATCTGGTTTAACTTCTTCAAGGCCCTGAAAGAGGCGGGCTTCGAGTTCAACTTCAAGCAGGTCATCGAACGAGTGCCCCTGCTCCGAGAGCACGATCTGAACGGTCGCCAGATTCGTAACACCATCAAGACCGCCCGCCAGCTGGCCGCGTACCGCCAACAGTTGTTCAGTTATGAGCATATCAGCAGTGTCATCGATGTCACGAACGAATTCGAGGACTATTTGAGAAAGACAAAGGGTCACACCGATGACGAGTTTGCCGCCGCCGAAGGCATTAGATAGAGATGAGTCGATTGGTCGGCCGCCCTTGGGGGTGTTAGGGATGAGATAGTGTAACGGCCGTGAAATGCTGATTTTCCTGTCCAGCTGAACCTTGCTTGACCATCTCGTCGATATATGCGCATCCATCACGCTTCCCGAGTTCACGGCAGTAGAAATTGTTGCTGCAGCGATGCTGCGTAGTGCTGGGGCTAAGGTTACGGTAAGCCTGGGGAGCCGGAGCCCCAAGATCTCCAGGCGGGGTAGGCTTAGGGACTACTCGTACAATGCGGTGCCGCCCAATCGCGCCCATCCGACAAGTACGGAGTACATGGCCGCCTATAAGCTCCCCCCTGGCTGCACAGCCTCGCCCTCAGCCCGCCACAGCCACAGCCAATGCACTGCACGTCACAGCCAATACTTTGATGTTAGGTGAGTGCAGCATGCGCCCAGGCAAGATTATGTTGCAAGGGCGACACTACAAGGCGCACTACGACTTTGGCCATCTACTGGGCAAGATGTGTATCTTCTCTTCGAGACCCTTCTTCGATGTTTGTACCTGTCGAAGCTCGACGCTCGTCGCTAACTTACCATCGCTTGACTTTGGGGGCGCCGGTGGTGACTTGCAATGGGGTCCTTGACGAGGCAGACGGACTGGTACCGCGGTGACACGGCGAGAAAGTGAGCGTACCCCCTCCCACCCCGTTCTCGCCTGATTGATGGATGATTTGAAACTGTGATTTATGGTTCAGTGGCTGACTGCATGGGTTACTGTACTGCAGCGGGGCCGACGTGGCCAAGGAAGCGTTCGACAAAGCGATGCAATACTTCGAGAAGGACCTCCATGCCGACAAGAAAAGCCTGGACTGGCTGCGCAGCCATTGGCCCGAGTCCATGCACGAGGTGACGGAGGTCGTGGAACAGGCCAAGCAGACATACACAACGACGAGGTCGGGGAAAGGAAAAGAGAAAGAAAGCAAGGCACACAAGTGTTTGGTGGCATTCTCGGCACGGGTCAGGTACTATGGCGACGTGCTCGACGTGCTCGCTCAGCATCACCCGGAGTACGTGGCACTGGCCTGGGGGGCCTTTAAATTCGTCTTTGTGGTAAGTGAAAAATGAACAGGAATGTGGAAGTGATAATTAGTGAACACGGCACACTCACTCACTCACTCACTCACTCACTCACTCACTCACTCACTCACTCACTCACTCACTCACTCACTCACTCACTCACTCAATCGCTTGCTCGCTTGCTCGCGGCAAGCCAGCTCTCTCCAAAGGACTGGTAGTGACAATTCGTATCACAACAGGGAGTTCTCAATCATGCAGAACTGGTGGCCGAGCTGTCGGAAGCGCTCACCAAGATTGGGGATCTTCTCCAGCAGGTGAAGCTGGTCATCTACTTGTACCCGGTCGACAGGATGCGGGACGCTGTTTCAAGGCTGTATGCGCACATGATCGAGTTCCTGCTCCTGGCTGCGGACTGGTACAAGAAACATCCGATCAAGAGGGCATTGGATTCCATTATCAATCCCTTCCCGCTGCGATACAAGCCCACCTTGAAGCTGATCCAGTCTTCCTTTGACAACGTCAACCACATCGCGAACGGGGCCAACAAGGCCGAGACCCGCGACCTCACCATCGCCGTGCAACAGATGCAGTCGCAGATCACAGCCATGGAGACGGCCTTGGTCACCAGAATGACCGGTGAGTGGGGAGAGGCACCCAAACCCAAACCTATCCTTGCGGCTGAGTGGCCGGCTGTAATGTTTACCTGTCAGGGGCCTGTCTCCAATGATTTCATCATGCTGACCCTGGGCCGCCGCAACAGAGATGCAAGGAATAGGTTCGCAGACCCTAGCCGTGGTCAAAGATCAGACCGTCCGCCTCTGCCGCATGGAGCAGGGAGACATTCTGACGCTTCTGACGCCATCCCGCCTTCCAGAACATGTCCTGTCGACCTGCAGATCCATTGCTCGCCGGCGTGGCCTCTGGAACCAGCCCAGCAGCGAATCCACCAGCTTCGTCCAAGCCTTGAACAAGTGGATCGCATCCACCGACTCGACTTTATTTACGGTGCGAGCCGGTCCGCGCGCCGAGGCCCGCACCAAGGACCTGGCCGTCGAGGTGACGGCACTGTTGAGCGCCGCCTGGCATCCCGTGCTGTGGTATCTCTCCGAACGAGGACATCGCCATCGCCATCGTCATCCCCAGGCGAGTCGAGACGTCGACGTCGACGTCGACCAAGACCTCGACCAAGACCTCAGCCTCTGCGATATCCTGAAGAACTTGATCTATCAGCTGGTGCGGCAGGACGTCGGACTAGACCCCGATACACTAAACATTACAAAGTTCCACAGTGCTCACTCCGAGTCCGAATGGCTGGACCTGCTGCTTCTGCTCCTGCGCAGTGTCTGCACATGCTACATGGTGATCGAGACCGAGGCTCTGTATGATCTCGCCGGGAAAGGGAAAGACCAAGGCTGGTCGCAGCGCCTGATGGCCGTGTTCGATCGCGTCGTCGAGAATGCGAAGCCTGCTGGCTGCCTGGTCAAAGTCCTGCTCGTCACTTACTCGGACGCACCGCTTTCGCATCGAACCATCTCCACCACCAGCAGCACAGCTTCGAATCACTCTCTGCCGCTGGCGGTAAACATCCACTCGTCCAAGACGGGCTTGATGAACAAAAGGCAACGGGTGGCGGCCAAGGCCGCGGGGAAACGAAACGGCCTGACTCGTCAACTGGCCACCGTCCACTTGGTCGATACTACATGACCTACTGAGTACATTAATCACGCGGCTTATGACACACAGCATGTTTGGTATCGCAAGCGCAAAGTTTCACGAGTCTACCCCTTCGGCCTGCATTTCGAAGGAAACCGGTTGGTTGGTTCTCGGTGAAGAACTGTGCAGTCAGTCGTACGACGAAACTCAACGACGCCTTATTGACCACGAGACATGACTTCGACTGGAAATACAGTACTAGTGAGGGACGGTAATCTCATTACACCTCGCCGTAGATCAGAGGAGAAGTTGTCGGTGAAGGAAAGACAGCAATTACGTCAAGTTCAAGGTAGAGCTGTCTCTGGCGCATGGAGGAAGACTCTTTGTGGATATACAGTCATATTGGAGCGCAAACCAGGAAAGATGCTGTTCAATATTTAATGTTTAATGTTCAATTGGATTTTGATTTTTCATTTTTCATTTTATTTCGTCTCATCGTTTCTCTACCATCTTAAGAAGCAGGAAGCTCACTTTTGCCCATTTTTGGAGGTACCCGGAAACGCCGTGCTATGCCATCTCGTGTTGATTCGTTAATAAGGGCTTTTCCCATACCCGCCCACCGGATGCGGATGCACCATCTTGCATCTGACCAGAAAACTCCCGGCTATGCGAAAACAACAAGAACAAGAAAAAGGACAGGATGTACTCGAGTCGATCAGTGGTCGATGGCTAGACTCTGATCGAGTCTGTACAGGACCGCAGGTCCGTAGGTACGTCGGAGGATTTGTAGCGCTTGCGATTTCAAGGACATGGTTGCTGGACGGGGTATCATCTCATTTGCTGGAAAGGAAAACATCGATTCTTGTTGAGTCTCGGAGAGAGAGAGCGAGGGCGGTCCATTCACTGAGCAAATGGAGGTGGATAGGCGAAAGCCGAATGTTCCTGTTCGAAATGGCCGAAAAAATTGTCGTCAACTTCATAGTCCATGGTGCCGGGTGGAGTGTTTTGACCCAAGCCAAAGTCGAAGTGAAAATCTGCCTCTGCATCTTCATCGCGGGGTTTGGATAGCTCCGTAGCAGAGCCATCGACAGTGGGATATTCACCGGACGGGTAATGGTAGCAGCTGTCGTAGTGGAAGATTTGACTGCCGCACATAGTCATCGATCCAGACAGAAGGCTGTCATCCAACTCCTCGTCTACCTGGGTGACAGGTTCGCTCCCTAATCCCGCTACTGCTTGCTTGGGGGAGCTGGCTCCATCCCCACCGTGATTCGCTGGGACTCCAGTGAGGCGGGCCATGTCCGACGATTTCTTGACTCCCTTGTCCGATCGAGGCTTGCGTTTCTTAAACGCTTGACCAAGCCACGGAAATCCAACGGCTTCAAAGTCATCGACGTCTTGCTCCGCCTTGCGTTTCTTCTCACGAATTGACCGCTTAGACTCTAGTCCAAGATGTGCAGTGCGGACATGCTCCTCCAGGCTTGCTTTGCTCGTAAAGCTGCGGTTGCAACCATAAACAACCACTTCCTGCTGGCTGGTGAGCTCCTCTGGCAGAGTGATTTCGGTTTGGCCGCAAATAAAGTCACGCTGGTTTTCGTGGACTGTCTTTATGTGCACATTTAGATTGCCCTTTTTGGAGAATTTCTTGCTGCAATTGGGATAAGTGCAGGGAAAGTTAGACGTAGTCTCGGATGCTCTGTTGGAGAGAACGCCATGCTGAAGTTCCAGATGTCGAGTCAACTCTTTGTTGGTGATAAAAGAGGTTGGACAGAATGAGCACATGGGTGGGTGTTCCTCGGCGATGTGAGCTTGGAGCTCACCGTAAGTTGCAAAGGACGCCTTGACCAAATCATCTGAGCCGCCCTCTGTTGGGTTCGCAAGTGCCGCTGCGTTTCGTGCCATGCAGTCCGAGCAAGAGAATCGGGTGGGATCATGCTTGGCTCGTTGATGGGTACGCAAGTTCTCGGCAGTGTCGTAAGCTTTTGTACATGGAAGGCCAGTGACAGAATCCAATTCTGTGCAAGGGAAGGGTTTGATGTTGCGGTGTACCGACAAGATATGGCGGTCCAGGGTTTCTTGTTTGCGGAAAGTCTGCTCACAGCCGGGGTAGCCATGACACCTGAATTTCTCCTTGATCTCGTGTGCTTGGACATGGCGTCGCAGTCTCGTGCCCGTAGCGAAACTTGCATCACAGCCGGCCCACGTGCATTTGTAATCCCTCACATCAGTATGTGCGCTCTTAACGTGGTGTTTCAAATGGCTGGCACGGAGAAACGCTTTGGTGCAGGGAGAATGCGGGCAGGTGAAAGGACGGGTGTTGGTGTGAGACCTGATGTGCTCGGCGAGCCTGGCCTGGCGATTGAAGGTCTTGTCGCAGTTGTCCCAGTGACACTTCAGCGTCTTCCGTCGACAAGGTGGGAGGGTGGAGGAGGGGGGAGTCGAGGCGGGAGTGTCGTCGATCGGAGCCGACGCCTCGTCCTCGTCCTCGGACTTGACCATCTCGTAGTCATCCAGGTCGAAATCATCGTCCGAGTCGATCTGTGCCATGACCGTATGGTCGCTACGATCCCGTCGCCGTCGCCGTTTCGTCTTCGATATCAGCTTCCACGACAAAAAAATTTAAATACAGATCAACGTGGTCAAAGGCCGGATGTGAGACCAATGGCGGAGTTGTGGGGGAGTGTTTTTTGAGAGGCTGCTGGTTGGTCCGCAACTAAAAATTATCAGGTCAGGTCAGCCTCGAAACTCCGGTTGATTTTCTCGCAGCGCAGCCGCAGTGGCAGCGACATGTGACACTGCCAAGCACCCGGACAGTTATCGTCACGTGATGAGTCGGATCCCTGTCACCTTTTTTTGATCCTGCGTCCTTCCTACGAAGACAGTCGGAATGCGTCCCAGCAAGCACTGCCTTATATCTGCTGCCAACCCTCCTCGGCACATCTCTCGTTGTTTGTCAGTTCAGTGGCGATTGGAAAATGTCTGACTATGGTGATGAGGGCGGGTAAGTGACTGGAAAATTTGCGCCTCAACCAACGTTCGTTTGCCCAGTGACTGACACTTCTGGTTTGCTTGACAGCTATGGCCAGGAGGAGGCCGATGATACCTTCTACGAGCCCGAAGAAAACGTCGAGGAGTTCGCCCCCGATGCTGAGATCGACGAGGCCGCCATCGAGGACCGAGCCAATGCGGCAGACGGCGACGAGAGGACGGTGGTGACCGGCGACCCCAATCAGAATCTCCAGAAACCATCGAGCGATGCCGACAAGAAGATTCCGGACGAGAAGAGAACCACTACACCCTACATGACAAAATACGAGCGCGCGCGCGTCTTGGGTACCAGGGCTTTGCAGATCAGGTAAACGATGGTACTGGCTTCCTGGAAGGAGCGTAGACTGATACAACATAGCATGAATGCCCCCGTCCTGGTTGACCTTGAAGGCGAAACCGATCCGTTGCAAATTGCGATCAAAGAGTTGAACCAGAAGAAGATCCCCCTTGTTGTCCGCCGGTACCTACCTGATGGATGGTAAGCATGTTCAAACTCAAAGCGGCGCGTTTCTTGCTGACCTTTGAGAAGGTATGAAGACTGGACCTGTGAAGAATTGCTGTGAAGCACTGGCTACTCTCCAAAACCATTGATATCTGGGTGTGTCGCTGCCTCGGTCCGATTTAGTCCACCAATGTTCCTGGAATCGCAAGGTTGGTCAGTTGCCCACATGCGACGGGTTTATTGTTGCCTCATGCCGCCAGCCTAAGGCACTCGGCGAGCTACACTACAAACCACTTCACTGTGGACCATGATGGCATGATCTGAAGTCAAAAACGGTGTAGGGTCTGTCTTTGCCCCCACCTTCACCCGCTACCGAGTCATGGAGAGAGAAGGGCGGAGAGTGGGACTGAGATACCGGCGAGAGACTAGCAGTGACGCTGTATAGGCTGCTCGTACGATAGCGCCCAGCGCCCTGATCCAGCTCGGCCAATGTCTGTACGGTTCAGTGTCGGCCCTGCTTGATGCACGGGCGGTTCCTTGCCGCTCTTGTCGTTTTTCAGGGGAGGATTGGAAGACGGAAAGGGTCCGGGTTTGGGTTTTGAACAATGTACAGAAATACTTTTCACTGCACCAGGAGCTTGGAGCTGGAGCTCGACCTCGACCTCATTTGGAGCCACAGACCATAGCTCACCTGGAGCCACAGACCATAGCTCACCTGGAGCCACAGACCATAGCTCACCTGGAGCCACAGACCATAGCTCACCTGGAGCAAATGCTCGCTCTACCGATCCACGATCATGTACAACAATGCTAAACAAAAACAATGATCAATCAAGTAATGACCAACAATCCTCGCTCTACTTTGTCTAGACCCAAACTTGCCTCAGTGGACGAGCACGCACATACACAACCAGATCTAGAGGTTAGGATGTGCTTCTGGCAATCTGCATCTTCTACCCAGAGGTCTCTAGGTGCCGCTGATTCTGATTCTAACTCTGATTCTGATTCTAACTCTGGCTCTGATTCTGATTTCTCCGGAAGACTTGATACAGTACCTGACACAAGAGACCCGATACATGATACCCGATACATGTTGCCCGGCACCCGACAAACGACACCCGACATCTGATATCCAACGTACAGTTTCCCTCGTTGTTTCCGGATGCATAGCTCAGGTCAGCTGAGAAGGAAAAAGAAAAAAAGTACCTAATAGCTAGATGGTGTTGAAGTGGGTTTGTTTGGGTTGGTTGGAAAAGTGAAATCTTCATCCATGGACCCGATCAGCCATCTATCTATCCGTCACATTCCCCCTTTGATCAGACAATATCATCTTCATCCTAATACTCACCCATCATACAAATTTGTCATGTCAATAAATCGTCCATCTCACAGGTCATGTCTAGGTGGGAAATGTAGGGCTGGTTGAGGGGTTTTCTTTCCGCACAGCAAGGAGTTCACAGTTTCTGTTTCGTTTCGTCTCTGGCAAAGATTGTGCGCTTCGAGCCTGCGACCCTAGCTGACCTGGCCGTGTCGTCTGGATATGCGCGTATGGCGAGGGGTATGCACTTGGGCAGAGAGACATCCACGGATCTCAATGTCATGATCGAGCCATGACCAGACGCAGCGGCAAGAAGTAGTCCCGACTGGCTGACCAAGATGAGATTCGATCCGTTCCAGGTCTGAGATTGCAGAAAATGTCCATGTCCGCGGATAGTGTTCTGGTACAGGGATCGATCGCACTGTTGCAAAGCGAATGGACATTGACGTCGCGCATACGATTTCTGCACTGGTTGTTTGGCGTTCAAGCAAAGCGAACTCGTGGAGATCTCTTCACGACCCAGGCTCGCAAATCCTTGTCCCAAATTGGGATTTCATCATTCAGCATGTGGCGAGGCTGTGGCTTCGGATCTGGCTTCGGATCTGGCAACTTGATATGCAAACGTCGGAGATGTCGATGTGCGTCGGGCTGGGGAGAGACGGGGATATCACGATGGCGATGTTCTGCTGGACGAACTTTCTCCAGTTTCACCTTTCTCAACTCGACATGAGGCTTCTCCTTGACTTTGACATGGCGTGGCTCGCGTACCTCAACGACAGGGGATGGAGATGGAGATGGAGACGGAGACGGATGTGGCTGGCGGGCTGCGCTGCGCTCTCCTGCGCCGACAGAGATCGATATGCGGGGTTGCTTGTGATCATTCTGAAATCCAATGATTTCGATGCGAATGCCGTCTCTGCATGACTTTTCGTGGTCCATGCCTCGATGATGTTCGTGCTTGTGTTTCGGTTCTGCTGCTTCAACAGCCACGTGACGCTTCTCGGGGAGTTTCTCAAACACCTTGACTACTTGAACATCGCGTGACTTGGGACTTGGCGGGGCTTGCTTCTCGCGCACAAGATGGAGTTTGCCTCCTGGTGAACGCTCGACGTACATCGTCTCATGGCTCGGAGTCGCATCACGAATTTTGAGTTTGACGAACCGCATAATGCGTGAATGAGAAGTGCGGAAGGGAAGAGGAGTACAAGAAGAAAAGAGCAGTCAGGGATGTAAGAAGCGTTTGGAGAGACTGCCTGTTTCACTCGTTTGCAAGTGTAGTGACAGGTGATGTGTAACGTAGAGCAGGAAGGGGAGTGACTATTAAAACAGTGAAGAAGATACTTAGACCTCTCGTTCTTTGCCTGAGCCATGATGGTGGTTTGAAAGAGCTTTCAACTCTGTACATGAGCCACGGTCATCAGAATAAAGGACATGCGGATCAGCGCAGCCATCACGTTGGGCCTCTCAATGGACTGTTAGCCGCTTCCCGATGTAGTCATTCAGCCAAAGTCCATGACATCGTGTTAAGGGCATTGTGATGTCTAAGTGCTGTCTCAGAATCCTTTATGGGTGGTCGTAAGACGTAAAAGGTAGCGTGGCTCACCGGATGCCATTGGTCAGGCGGACAAACAAAGCCAGGCAGATCTGGAAGATGGAGGGCTGTCACTGGGGCCTGGAACGGCAGGGTAGAGCCACCGATGCGCATAGAGGGAGCACATAGACCTGTGGACTAGAGACAGGGCAATCCAGTGTCTCTACTGGCCATAAAGAAAGTAAATATCTAGAGTGGACGATGAGATGAAGTGAAGTGAGGTTGAACTCGACTCACACAGGATGGAGAGGACGAAGAGGTCTAGTGGTGCCAAGCGACGCTAGTACCAATGTAGCTGACGCGCGTCTTATATAAACACCGGCCCTTCCTGTCACGTGCTCTCTCCACGACAAGCTAATATCAATTCAGAAATAAGGTGACCATTGACCGCCTTATTTCTGAGAATAGTTTAGCGCACGACGCAGGTATGGTGCCGGCCTACGGAGTACTTTTCTCGGGCTCTCGAGCTCTTAGACGAAACTGGGCTAATGGGCTTGCAACATCACCTGGGGGAACAGACCCAGGCCCCGGTCTCATTCATCGAGGCTGATCGCAGCCTACTTGAGTGTTCGGATACTGGCTTCCAACAGAATTTCTTGTTCTTGAGCACTTCAGATTCAGTAGAGATCCACTGTAGATTTGTGGACAGATGCCTTTTCGTCGCTAGAAAAGCCGATCGCTATGTTTGAAGGTTGATTTGCTTCACCAGTCTGTCCGTCACAGTTTCGACTTCTGCTGTGTGATAAGTCATTCAAGGCCTTCGATATAACCACAAGCTAAGTACCAACCTGAGCAGCCTCTGGTGACCCGGCAACATGTGCTAGAATCCAGCTTGCCACGTCCTTTATAAACTGTTCTCCAACGCCGTCCGGCTCGGCGTGCAGTTTATGGTATCCATCGGGATATGAGTGGTACACCTTATCGCCGTTAGGCGCTTCGAGCACTTTGAAAAGGCGCTCAGCAGCTGTCGGGGAGACGACTCGGTCGCTAGTGCCGTGCGCCATCCAGACGGGGCAGGGCAATCTGGTGGACAAGCCATGCACCTTGCGGCCATGAGAAAGGGCCGACAAATCAGCTGATCGCTGGAGAAGGCCCTTGAGACCCTCCAGCGTTCCTGTGTCATGACACAACGGATCGTCGACCCAATCTTGGCGAACCTTGGGCGAGTGCGACATGTACGTCGCGTGGAGTTTCTGCTTCATCTGCGTATGTGGAAGAACCATGGCGGCCAGCTTGCCCGCAGAAACGACTAGGGACGACGGCTGTTCCGAAGGGTCAAGCTCGACGTATGGCGCTTCTAGCAGCAGGCCCTTGATAGGCGGTCGGTTTTGGAACTCCGGTGATGTGGACAGCACGTAGCACAGCGCCTCGCCGCCGCCCATGCTATGGCCCATCAAGAACAAGGGCTTCCCCAGGGTTTCTGGGAGTGAAGCAATGTGGAGGACGAAGTCGTGGATATCGGATATGACGAGTGTGCTTGGTCCCGTTAGTCCGCGCTCGCTTGGTTTCCGGACCGAGCGGCCCCAGCCTCGTTGGTCAAAGCCGTACACGGCAATACCGAACGAGGAGGAACTGAGCGTCGGGAAGAAGTCGTAGTAGGCTAGAGCTCTCATATATCAGATATCGCCTCGATCCATTCCAACCACGGTAAGAATCCGATCGTACCATTGATGTGGTCGGAGAAACCGTGAAGGAAGATGAGGATGGCTGAGATATACCCGGATTCGGGCTGTTCGAGCCGTAGGGTCAGTACTAGACAGATATACACAGGGGGGAATAGTGATGGCAAGCAGTGATACGATGCAGATAACAGGATGCCTAGGGAAGAGCCTCACCTTCCATGTCTTCGTGTAGAGCTTCGCGCCGTCCCGGGCGGCGAACTCGCCTTCCATGGCTTGACACAGATGATATTGTTTTTCACAAGCGGGACTGCCGGGGAAATATGTCGGCGTGAAACGCTTTCCAACCGGTGGGTTGTGGGAAGTGTGTAAAAGCCGAGAGGACGCTTCAGTGCCTGCTGCCTGCTGCTTACTTCCGTCCTCAAGTTCGTCGTTGTTGCCGAGGCCGCACGTGGTTGAGGTTGACGGATCGATTCAAATGACCGTCATTCGATGTCAGTATCAAAACATTATCCTGACGTCAATCTGCCATCTGTGGGCCAGCCTGATATCAGTCAGTCTCTTCGGAAGCAACGTGTCTTTGCGAGATGCATGTTAGGTCAACAGATTTGGTCACTCAGAAGATATCTTCGGCATGTGTCGCGGCAGCTTGGAGGCTCCGAGATCAGCGGTCTTTCACGAAGTTGTTTGGCCCTGCCACCACGGACCAGCGAATTGCAGGCAGCATGGGCTGTTGGCGGTACAGCATTCTCTCAAGACGAAGACGAGGTAACCACCTCAGGGAACCGTCACTATATCGACTGCTTGTGGTCAAGATCGGAAGGAACTTGGAGAGAAACAATACCGTAAGACTCACAGGATTGTCGAGACTATTGGAGCAATCCCGAAGTTCAGAAAGACTCCCAAGAGGAGAGCCTCGCATCTCGTCTACCAGAAACCGTGAGTTGGCAGGGACACTTTCCAGAAAGACTGATTATGGTGGCGCTGCTTGGCCATATGCAGAAGCCAACACTGCAGTGACTTGAACAGCCAAGAGAAAGTGAGGTATAGGAGGACTATCCTAACACAGTAGTACTATCACACAGGGCTCTGTGGTCAAATGCACACACAAAAGCAGCAGCTATCAAGGCAAAAAACAAAGCTGCCAAAAAAACAGATTCAATCCTTTCTTGACCAGAATTGAATTCCCGAAAACCTGTCCTCCATGCTATACAAGGAAGGAAGGGGGAACGAAGGGGGATTCGAACAGGTTTTTAGTGGCTTCCGATTTGGCGACCAGTATCAACAACAGCGTCTTGAACACCATCCCTCAGTGACTCTGTGCAAGGTCAAGACAAGCACTGCCACTGTTGGCCCACGGGTCTCTGTAAACAGAGACCGGTGGGACAAAGTAGGGATGGGCCGATAGAGGCTGAAGGTTACTTGGTCACGACTAGTCCTGCACTGACTGTAATCTCTGCCACCTTAGCCACTCGGCTACAGTGGCAGTCTTTACAGTCAGCGACTCCTAGCTACTTGAAGTTGGAAGAATTACTGGTCAATAAATATATCAGGGTTGAATTGTTTTCACCGCAGGCATCGAGCAGAGCATGTGACACCATGTGACGGTGGAGGGTGGTGAAGTGAAAGTGAAAGTGAAGCACCGTTGGCCGAGGAGGATGAGCACACACAAGATCCGCTGATTTACTTGTTCCGAAACTACAGCAACATGGAATGGCAGAGCTACTGGGTCTCCTAAGCAGTCTTTGATACGTCTGAGGAGACCTTTAGGGTTGGCACAAGCAATACGAGCTGAAGAAACCTGGTTACGTTCGTCAAGACAGTTTCCGACGGGATGTATGCGGCTCATGCAGGGCAGGCAGTACATCAGAGCATTATCATGGCCCGAGAACCATGTCGGTCATTGCAAAGGAGGCGGTGGTACAAGAACAAATGGACAGCTATCAGTCCCTCTCAACTCTCCAGAAAAAGACCCTCTTATCAAAGCCACCACTAACCAAGACTTCTTCCTTGCCGCCTGCCTCCCATCCTGCGTACAGGGTCCGGACCTTAGACCCGACCTCATGGGCCTTGAGCATCGCCACGACCTTGCCGCTCTGCGTATCAACACCCCTAATCACTCCATCGTCGGCGTTGATGAAAACCCCACTGCCGCCAGGACGCCAGACCACTTGGGGTGTTGAGTAGGGCGTCTGAGGAGCCATGGTGGACACCTGAAGCTTGATGGCCGAATCTTCGCGGTCTTGCAAGGCGAGGGCGGCCCGAGCCTGCGAGGTCTGGGTTACTGGTTCTGAATCGACGACCGCAGCGGTATTCGAGTTCGGGTCGTAAGTCGCGGTCGGGAAAAGAAGCCGCACAATGATAAGCTTCATATGAGGGAGGTGCGATGTTGCGACGGCCAGAAGTTGTGGATCTGTCGGGCAGACAGCGAGGTAGGAGGGCGTGAACGCTACCCACGCGTTGGAGTGTGGCGCCAGATTCTGCTTGCCGGTCTCCTGCACCGAGTATGTGTCTTCGCTGCTGCGTGAGGAAGACGACTCCTCGGCAGTGGGTTTAATGCAGTAGTAGTATAGGAATGTCGAATCCCGTCGTGAGACGATCAGGTAAAGGTCCCTGGTGTCCGGGTGGTGGACAAGGACCATCGACTCTGGATTAGTGGGTAGACTGATGGTATGGATCGGGTCGCGGAGGAGTCCTGGAATATATGGCTCATCATCTCCAAGAGGATTCTGTGCATGTGGCTCGAAGTTCGCAGCCAACTCAAGCTCGGGTGCGTAGACGTGGACTTTTTGATCCCAGCCGGCCGTCGCCACAATCCATCTTCCCCGCCGAGTCAGTCCTGATACCACATGGACCGCATATTTCATGTGGTCGCGGCTCTTGTCCAACAGTCGGCCCTGGGAGTCGTGTAGAGCAAGCTGCCCGGACATTGAGGTGGAGAAGACGTAGCCTCCGGGAAGTGAGCTGACGGACAGCACAGGACTGCCGTGAGCATTGGGAATGGAGCCCAGGAGCGTAAACGGCGCTGCCGGCGAGACACGCGTCCATGATCGGTCAGCTGTAGTCACGAAGATGACTCCATCCTCCTTCTCACTTCCCCGATCGCCGCTCACACAGAGTACGTTGGATCTGATAGGGACCTGAGGCTCCACGGCTTGCGACGGTGCAGGCAGTGACCAACCTGTATCGTGATCATCGCCGCTCCTCTCAAAGGCCAGACTCGTGTCGAATTGCTTCTTCTCCTCGAGGATCTTCTCTATCGTCCAGTCACCTGGCTTGGTGACTGCCGCATCTTCGGGCAATCCTGCTTCGGCGAGGAATGCCTCAAGTGTCTGCCAGTCGTCAGGGTTGTTAGGTCAAGAAAGCCTACTGGATGAGCCACAAGGGGTCACGCACTCCGTTATAATGATTCGCGTACAGGAATCGAGCTACAATGACCGCAGGCGAGTCTGTGGCAGGCATTTCTGGAATGAAGATCGATGAGAAATCAATCGAGACTGAATGATTAGATGACGGAAACTACAGTAGACCATGTATATACGTAATACTCCGTACTTCGTATTCCACATGTTGGTGAATGAAAGGCCTAAACCTGCTCCGGCCAAGCCACGCCCGATCCGGCAGGCGATCCCTCGCCGCTTTTGTTTTCTCTATAGTCTATGGAGTACATATATTCATCCTCTGTTCTCCGACACAGGACCGATCGTAGGAGTACTTCTAAAGCAAACCCTACTCAGATACTGCCGAACTGGTCAAGCGGGAAGACCTGCTGTGGCAGGAAACATGGAAAAGTCGTCCATAATAGACTGCCATACCTCATCATCCCAAACGTCCATGGTGAAATCTGGCTGAGGATCAAGTCGACTCCCGCCGTATGCATGTCTCTGATCGATAGTCGCTTGCCCCTGATTCCCGCCCCCATTGCTGCAGTTGGTTTGAGTGGTATTGCGGAGGCGGAGTGAGGCGAACGGAGTCATCATGTCTGCCAACGTACATCCAATTCGCATCTTGGACCCAGCACCAGACGAACTGATTGGGAGATCGTATTCCGCCTCTCCTTCGCTCTGTGTCTCACACCTCCTGTGCCATGCCATCAAGCCACCTAGTCCACGTGCGAAGAATGCCCAGACATCTCGCTGTTCCAGGCTGCCATTATCTCCCGTGGTGGAAAACTCGTCTCTGAATCTGAGTCTTATACGATCTCCCCTATTCGCAACATCTGCTTCTCTTTTTGCAATTGCGCTATCCCACCCGGTCGTCGAAGGTAAGCGGGCTACAGTTGATAGGATAATCATGGCCCGCGCAAATGAGGAGTAAAATGCCGAAGGAAGACATTTCAAATTTTCGCTTTGTAGGTTTAGAAGATAGTCCAGGTAGTCTCGGGTCGCGGTCAAGAGATCCCAAAGAAGAGTGCTTGATGAAGATGACTCCCGGTATAATGCTACCTCATGGATAGTGACTGGCAAGGCTTTCAGTTCGGCCATAAGAGCATCTTCGAAGTTCTTGTTAGCCACGAACGCCGTCACGAGTGCCACATATTTGAACAGGACAGTGGAAAACTCTGGGTTACTCACAGTTGTTTTGTGTAGATGAGAAAGCAGGAGTGGCCTCAAGCTCGGCAAGTTCCTTCTTGAACCCATTGACCGACATCTGAACCACAGTATCGTGCAGATGTAGAGCGGATATATGATCATCGTATGAGAACCTCTCGCCAATGCGCTGAACCAGACATCTGACTTTGATGAAGGCAGTCGCGTATACGTCTGTAGGCGCCTCCTGCTCAACTTCGAGGACATGGCAACAGTAATCAATCCACTTGGTGTGACTCATGGCCAGTTCTTTGCGCGTACTAGCCATCCTTGTTTAATTGTCAGAACAGCCCGGAAAGCCACGGAGGTGTTGTACTTGCGAGGATGAGAGATAGAAGAAACCCAGAAGAGCCCGGATTTCAGCTGTCGTCCTTCGACATTGGGCCGGGAACTGCTCGCTGTGGCTCGGCCTTGTCGAGAAGCAAATATTACTGCCGACTCTCTGATCACGATGCGCAGGACATCTATCGAGATCAAGGTCCATGACAAGACCGGTTGCCATTTGTAGCAACATGTATGAATGCTTATTGCCGGGAGTGAAGTGAAAATGGTTCCAGCTCAGCTGGATGAGTAGGCCTTGGAGAAGGTCAATGTCTCTTTCGTTGCTTATCAGGACACGCTCGCAGAGAGTCTTCTTTGCTTCTACTCCAAGCCTCCTCTGGAGTATAGGGTTTTCTTGGAGACATGTCATGACAATAGAGAGGAAGAGAAACGGAGAGTTTTTCCGTAAAGTAGCGGCATCGATCTCTGGAGGTATAACAACAAATGGAAAAAACTTCGAGTAAACTTGTTTATAGGTGTTCAGGAGGATATCGGCCTTGGGGATTGTCAGCAGGCCACTGTCTATGACATCGAACCGACTGCATTCTTCAGATTTGGAGGGCATTGTGCTGGTTGTACTTCGCGCATGCGCGAGCGAGAGGGTCGTGGCACTATCATCTTCCACCGTGGGAGCTGGTGCTGTGGCGTTGATAGTTGCATTCGCAGTTGCTTTTGCATTTGCAGTTGCATTTGCTTTTGCATTTGCATTTCTGACCACCGCGTTGTCAGGGGTGAGTAAGGTGAGAAGACTGTTGACTTTTTCTTCCAGTGCTTTGACTCTCCTATCTCGTAGTTAATTCCCGCAGAGGGTGTTGGATGGTTAGGTGACGGACGTACGTGGATTGCTTCTCTTTCCGCCGTCGTGGAGCTTCTTCGAGGATACAATCCCGTCTCAGTCTCCGGCACCGGTCGCAGACTTGTTGCCGATCACTGAAAGAACATTTCGCTTTGGCGGTAGCACATCGAACACATGCTCTCCGCCTGGAGTGAGGATTCTCAGCCTCCTTCATCACGCTATCATGCATAATGGAACGGGAGGGACGGACAAGCGGAGGCATTCAAATGCTCAGGTCCGGAACGGCGGAGGAGAAAAACAACTCCGGTCGAAAATTGATAGTACTTAGTAAGCATCCCAAATCACGTGATTAGGAGCAGGAGCCAATCAGTGATGATTGGAACTTGCAATCAACCAATCAGATAAGGCAGTCGACCGGGCCGTTTTTGGTCCGGTCCTGCCCCTTTCTGCCGCGCCTTGTTCCTACCCAGGTATTGATCTGATCACCTTCATGCTGTCAATTAAATTCCTAACACACTCTAAGCTATGTTGAAATTAGTGGTAAGTCTGTTGATTATATCTTTCTTCTTTCTTCAGTTTACTCAGAAAATGTCCTCAATATCTTTGACCATTTTTCCGTCTCCCCTTTTCAAGTTAATACCATCTTCATTCAACGACTACAAGCCACTCAGTCGTTTTGACGAAAAGAACCTCACCTTACCACTGAAATGCCAGGTAAAGAGTCGGACGCCGTTGAATCTGTCTCGCACGAGCAAGATGTTACCGAGAGCACGGAGTTGGAGGCTACTCACTACCTGACCGGCTCAAAGCTTAGCCTCGTCCTCGTTGGCCTTGGGCTCGCCATCTATCTGTTCTCTCTTGATATCGCAGTCATCTCAACAGTAGGCCCTCTTTTTCTATCAATCTACTTTGTCAGTATCACTCTGGCCATGGCTGACAGGAGAACAGGCCATCCCATCCATAACCGCACGATTTCACTCCACCACGGACATCGGCTGGTACGCAGCAGCTTATCCTCTGAGCATGTGCTCACTGCAGCCCCTCGCTGGAAAGTTGTACGTCAGCTTCTCGCTCAAATGGACTTTCTTCACCTTCGTAGGCATTTTCCTTTTAGGCTCGCTTCTGTGCGGTGCTGCTGTCAACTCTAGCTTGTTCATCCTTGGTCGCGCAGTTGCCGGGGCTGGGGCAGCCGGGATATTTTCTGGGACCTTTTCTATTCTCGCAGTTGTGGTACCACTCTCGAAACGTGCCATTTACACCGCAGCACTGTCTTCGCTGCTCGGAGTTGCCACAATCACTGGGCCGATCATCGGAGGCGCCTTGGCAACAAAGGTGACTTGGAGGTGGTGTTTCTACATCAATCTACCTCTTGGGGCGCCGACTCTACTTGCATTGACCTTGTTCTTTCACCCACCGATACGAAGCTCCGACAAAGCGCCTTTGCGGGAGAAGCTGCTCAAAATCGACTTGGTTGGCTGCGCCATATTTATGCCCACTATTGTAATGATCCTCCTGGCCTTACAATGGGGTGGCCAGCAGTACCCTTGGAAGTCGGCCACAGTAGTAGGACTGTTTTGTGGCGCTGCCGGACTGGCCACGATCTTTATTCTCTGGGAACATCGTAAAGGGGAGAACGCCATGATCCCATTCTCGATCATCTTGCATCGTTCAATCATTCTCAGCTGTCTGTTCAGCAGCTTCATGTTTGGTGCCTATCTCATTAACGTTTACTACATGCCTGAATGGTTCCAAGTCATCAAGGGTGCTAGTCCTCTTCACAGCGGTATCATGACACTTCCGCTGGTCCTTTCACAGATCATTGCCTCCGGTATTGGCGGAATAGCCAGTGAGTCAACGGCCAAGTTCTGAGTATCGTCTGCGACCTTTCCAGACTGACACTGGCATTCAGTCAACCGTACGGGCTACTATAACCCTTGGTTCTTCGTTGGCATTGGTTGTATGGCCATTGCGTCAGGGCTCTACACTACCCTCACCACTTCCACGCCGCATGCAAAATGGATCCCATTCATGGTCGTCCAGGGGTTAGGTGGAGTAGCAATGCAAGCATCCCTCCTCGCCGTCCAAGCCTCGCTGGCCTCGAGACCTCAGTTGATTCCCGTCGGGATCTCGTTGGTGACGTTCTTCCAGTATTTCGGCGGCTCTGTGTTCCAGAGCATTGCGTTGGCCGTCTTTCAGAATCAGCTCGTCAAGTCACTCAAGCAGCATGTAGGCCTCAACGCGGAGCAGGTGCAAATCTTGTTGGATGCCGGGTCGGGACACGCCCGGAAGGCTACGTTGAGCTCGTTCCCAGGGAAGCTTGACTCTGTCCTTTGGGCATACGACCGAGCCATCACAAGTGTCTTTGTGAGTTCGAATCCTGCATGCCGCGTGCCGCGACCCCACGCTGTAGTCCATTACATGTTTTACTCGTCCTCGTCCTCATCCTCGTCCTCATTCGTTGGCTAATACGGTCCTGAACTGAACAGTATGCGTCCCTGGCCTCTGCCATCGTGGGCTTCGTTCTTGCCCTGGGCATCGAATGGAAGAACATAAGAGCCAAACCGTCGCATCCAAACGGTGGCGAAGTCGGATCCACAAAAGCCCCGTCGGCCGCTGACAATGAGGTCGAGGTCGTTGCTGAGAAGGCCGACAGCAGCAAGTTGCAACGGACATGTCTCGACAGAGGATGAAGGGGAGAGGAAGAGGGTGGCTGACGGGCTCCATGGAACATTGGGATTCGCGCAGCGGTAATCCCAAATATACCTACCTAGAGATAGTTACACCTACCTAGAGATAGTTAACACCTACCTAGAGATAGTAGGTAGTAAATGTTCGGTCATTGGGCGAGTGTGGAAGAAAGCTTCCACTGTTCATGTGCGTTTTACATTGTTACACACCACACGGTAGTTAACAGTCCAAGAGGGCTGGCTGGCTTGTCACCTCCATCACTGTTTGCCCTCTTGTTGAGGCGCCCCCATTCCATGCCGGGTCTTGTACGCCCGAGGACTTTCGTAGTCTTTATTGCTTGCAGCCCACATGCCTTTTCTCTTGGTCTTCGCCCACCACTCGGCGCTACGGTACTTTTTCTCCAGGCCGTCGCCAAACTCAGCCCCTGATTTGGCTTCATACACAGTGGCCAGGCCGGCCCTTAAAATCTGGAGGCCCACGTCTCTCCGGAGAAGGCCCTTCCAGACATAGACAGTTCCCACGACTCTGCTATATTGATCTATCTTGTAAACGTAGGCACGGACTCTTTTGCCCAGCACGTAGGCCGTAAGCCAATCGAGGGCCTCGGGCGCGTAAGGCTGTGAAGGGCGACCGAAATGCGCCAGTTCGGGTGCGTCGATTCCGGCCAGGCGAACATGGATCTGGGAGACTAGTCAATGCAAAGTTCTTCGCCAACGGTTTCGGTCTCGATTTACTGTCTGGCCCTTCAGCTTTTTCTTGTCTGTCGGAACACGTCTGCCGGGGAACCAACCCCAGCCGGCCAATCGACCACCTGGTGTATGGTAGATGCGAAAGTTATCCCCATCTCCCACGCTTGTGACCTTTCCTACAATGCTCCTCCGGCGAAAGAAACCAGGGTTGATGTTGACCGCTTGAGGGATTCTGCGCAGGTACGCCTTGTAGAACGTAAAACACCCCAAGGAAGCAGCCGTCAAGACTACCGCCGCACTGATGGTCCCGGGTTCGGTGAAGGTCCAGAGCTTCGAAGGCGAGGCATTGGAGGGAGAGGGGCCTTGCGGAGTTGGCTTGAGGTTCTGGGAAGCTGAGTCTAAGGTCTCACTAGCTTGGGTTTTGGAGGGACGAAGAGGCTTGGATTCGGATTCGGATTCATCCTTTGTCGAGGAGAACCACAGCTTCGGCCATGGCATAGCGAGCTCGCCTGATCTGTTTGCTGCGAGGGGCGAGGGGCCAGCGTGCGTTCATCAGTCGCGCGCTCAGATCTCAGATTGCGGAGAAGGTCACCGACGCCTGCAGTGAACGCAGGCCAAGGACCGCCGAATCCAACAGCTCTGGGCGCCGCTTTTAGCTTCCTCTACCTGCGTCTGCTAGGGTTAGGGTCATTGTAAGTAAATAGCCTGCGCCAGCACTCACCAGGGTCAACCGTCAACAGTCACACGCACCTCAAACCCGGCCGATATTGGTAGCCAGGCACCTACCAGGGTGCACGGTTAAAGCCACGAGGTGTCGGACTCCGGGACGTTAAACGAGTTACAAAGATCGTTCTTATCCTTTCCATTTGTATGTACGGCGTCCATGGCGGTTACTGATATTCCATGCTACATACTAGGCACCTACTAGGTACATATGTACAGTATGATTATGATCGACGGATATCTAGAGGGCTACCTATAGGCAAGCAACCTCCTGCTACTTCTTTTCCGGCCGTTTTCTTCTGTTCGGCCAACCACAGGCTTGCTATGGTTTCATGTGTGCAGAACTCGACGTTGTCGCCGAAGCTTTTCAACCACTGGACAACGCGCTCAGCCATTCCAATCACATGTGCCATACCGCTGGTATCGGGATGCATCAGTATAGGAAAGACAAAGTCGATGGAGCTGGAGCCGGAGCCAGCGCCACTGCCCTCAGGAGAGTTCTCCCAGAGCCACAGAAATTTGTCCTTCCACATTTGTTCCACCACGCGAGTGGATACATAGCCCATGCTATTGGCAAGATGGGGAAGATACTGCAACGGCATCATGTCCTCATTGTACCAGCCGCAGGGGATCTCGACGAGAGGGTGTAACCCTTCCGGATAAGCCTGCGACGCAATCGGCGTCGGCTGCAACCAGGACGATGCCGGCTGCGAGAAATCGATGGTCTTGATCGGTGGGTCGCTGGGAGTGAAATAAGGCTGTGAATCATGATGCATCAGAGAAGTGTCGTAGAGAAACTGGTGCTGCCGAAGTAGTTGCACCGTGGTTTCTCTGATGGTGTACATGGGGGCTCGGTAGCCGCGTGGCGGCTTCCCGACCAGCTTGGTGGCGACGTCGATACATTTGAGTAGCACGTCTCGTTCTTGCTCTTCCGTCATCTGATAGATGCCCTCGTGCGAGTATCCATGAAGGCCAATTTCGGCGCCCGACTGCACCACCTTTCGCACCGTGTCGGGAAAGGTTTCGATGGTGTGGCCGGGGATGAACCAGGTCACCTTGTCTGCGATGCCGTGCTTCGTCAAGACGTCGAGCAAGCGGAGGGCTCCAACCTGCCCGGCAAAAATGCCCGAGCTGTAGTCGGCCATGTTGTTGTCGGGATGACAGCCCGTCCCAAGCCAGTGAGACACAGCGTCGAAGTCGAACGAGAGGGCAATCTTGACCTTGCGGCGGCGGGGGTAAATGGCCAGGCTTGATGTTGGCGATGGTACTGGCTGCTCGCCTGATCCTAGACCTGGACCTGACACCTGGTATTCGCAGTCGGTCGGCATTCCCGCGTTGACGGGGTCGATGTCTTGCGGACAGGCGCTCATGACCACAATCAGATCGGCCTGCGCTTCCAAGGATACATATTCGCCCTTTTCACTGGTTGGAGGCCGAATTGTCAGGTTGGAGCGATGGTCGATGGCCACGTTCATGAAGAGATTCAACGGGTCGGGAACCCAGTCGTGGGCAATGCCAAAGTGCGGGAAGTGCTCTTTCAATGCGGCGTGCATGTTGTCCGTGCAGTTGTCGTGATAGCCTGCCACGCCCTGCATTCGATATCGCTCGGCATCGCAGGCTGACCACATCAAGTCGTGCACGCCGCGGGTGGTGTCCTCGACCACGGTCAGCATGGGCTTTCTGCGAGTGCTATACAGCTGGTCGCCCGGCGAGATGGCCACTTTCAGTAGGATGGTGCGCGTATGCACCATGGAGAGGAAGTCGTTGGCATCATGGGGATTGAACGCCCAGAAATCCACCACTTGCTTGCCATGAGTGTTGATGATCTTGACGGTTTGTCCTTTCTGCACCGAGAAGGCAACCGCCTTGCGAGCAGGCAGAATCCCCATGTTCGGCGTTGCTGCAAAAACCAAAGCCAAAGCTCAAGCCGGGTTCAGAAGAGAACAATCTGACTTGCACTGAAGTTCAGTATGAGCTCTGCGGGATCCTGTTCTTTACTACCTTGGGTACAAGACAAGGAAAACGTTGGACGGATCATGCCATGACACACAGATGCCGGAGAGGAGACGAACGGGCATCTCCACGAGACGAGACCCTCAGGCCCCATCCCCCCGGAGCTCCACAAGAAAGATCGGTCGGTATACAGATACTAGTACCAGAGTAGCAGGTTGGTGGCAGGTGTTGGACGAATCTGTGTCGATGTTTGCGTGCAAGGGTGGCACGCCATGGAGAAGGCCGCACCGGGGCTGAGGATAGTAGATACTGTACATACTCTGTACTGTAAGCCGACATCATCCCCATTCTCGTTATTCACCTTGTTACTAATCAGTTTGAATAAAATCATCCATCCATTGCATTGAGCGTATATACCAACACTGTAAACCTACCTACTACCTAACTCTTTTCCCCCCCTCTCATGCCGTTTGTCAGACTGCCGTGCCGGTGCCGGTGCCGGCATCTAAGACCTAAGACCTAAGGCTGGCGAGCCAGCTGCTCATCACTGGGAATGGGCGGGACATCCGGGGAATCCAAGTAGTAGCTGAGGTCCGCGCGATCTCTGTCCGGCACGGTCCAGCCATTTCCCAACCACTCCATGGGATCGTGGCCGTCAAGCGGCTCGTAGGTGTAGTCCTCCCAGCGCGGATTGTCCAGGGCCTTTTTGGCATGCAAACTGCTTCCGGGCCACAGGCCGGTGATTTTGCCGTCCACCTTGTACCAACTGGTACAGGGCTCGACGTGCACGGTGCCCGGGAAATAGCAGTCGAGGTATTTCTGCCACGAATCCTGGGCGCGCTGCTTGACCTCCATGGCCTTGATGTGCTCTCGACTGATCTTCTCCACTGCCTTGACCACATACGATATGATGGATTCGAAGATCAGCAGCAATGAACCTCCTCCCGTCGCCGAGTTGGGCCCGCCCACCACAAAGTAATTGGGGAACCCGGGCACGGAATGAGACATGTAGGCACAGCTGTGGTCGGCCCATTTGTCTTGCAAGGTCAAGCCGTTGCGGCCGACAATGGGGAATCGTGGCATGAAGCTCGAGTTGAAGCCGGTCGCACATGCAATCGCATCCACTTGATACTTCTTGCCGTCGGCGGTGATGAGCGCCTAAAAAGAACAAGAAGGCAAAGGTTTCGTCAGTGTTGGAGTCCCGACTCGACTGGAAGATGTAACTTAGAAGAGGTGAAAAGGAAGAGAAAAAGGGGCCCAAGTGGAAAAGGGAAGGGCTAGGTCCCCAAAGAGGGCAGGGGCAAAATTAGGTAGGCAGTCTGTACTGGTACTGCAATGTAGTAATTAGGCGTAGTCGTAATTGCACTTACGTTCTCGGTGACCTTGGTAACCGAGGTCTTGATAAAATCGACGTTGTCCTTTGTCAATGCTTCCAGATACCCTGGACCCGGCGTAAGTCGTCTACAGCCGGGCGTGAACCGGGGCTCAAGGGCCTCGTACAGACCAGGCCGGGCGGCCAGTTTGTCCTTCATATTCTGCCGGATGGCCGCCGTGCCCTTGATCTCCTCGGCCGATCCGGCGAACAAGCAGGGATAATCCATATTGATCGCCCTCTCCATGGCCTTGCGGAACCGGGCGTAGTAGACGGGGTCGTCGGCAAACTTGCGCAGCTCCTCCGGCGTGTAGGTATAGTTACCGGGCTCGTCACTGCCAGCAAGGGCGGCTTCGGTGAACGTGGAGCCAAAAGGATGGCTGATCCAAGTGCCTCCTCGAACGAAGTTGTACACATGGGCAGACGTCTGCTGGAGCTGGGGCAACATCTGAATCGCCGACGAGCCACATCCTAACAGAGCAACTCTCTTCCCCGAATAGTCCCTATTGACAAGATAAAAACCCTAGAGGTTAGTACCAATGTCCAAGAAAACGAGATGTTATGTTAGGCTGGCGGTGGTGAAGGTGGTGAACAGAACAAGAACAAACATACCACGAAGGATCCCAGTTGGCCGAGTGGAGGAGCTTGCCTTGAAAGTCGTGCAGGCCCTCGATCTCCGGCCATTTCCAGTTATTGAGAAGCCCGACGGCACTGATGACAACCTCTGCTTCGGTCTGTCCTCTGCTGGTCTGGCCATCAGCGCCGGTGTGCTCCGTGTCGACGGACCAGACCCCGGCCGCTTCGTGCCAGGTCGCCCCCACGACCTTGGTGTTGAGCTTGACCTTCTGCTCGACCTTGTACTTCTTCGCCACTCCTTTGACGTATTCGAGGATCTCGGCGCCAGGCGAGAAATACTTGGTCCATTGTGTATTGGGCTCAAAGGTATACTGGTACACATGGCTGGGGATATCGCAAGCCACTCCAGGGTAGCGGTTTTCATACCAGGTGCCGGCCACCTCGGGGTTTTTCTCGAAAATGGTCACTTTGATGTTGGGCACATATTGGAGCAGTCGAATGTAGACTCCGATACCAGAGACACCCGCGCCGATGATGACCGCTCGTATCTCGCGCCCCTCGTCGATGGGCCGTTGCTGCAAGTGGAATTCCGCTGGTTCCATTCCGTCGACCGGCATTGACAGAGATCAGAGACTGGATCTGGTAGAGACTGATACTTGAGGGAATTTCAGTACCATGAGAAAGCAGGTCGACGGTCGAATTGAATCCCCAGCAGATATACCTGTACGGATAGTGAGGCTGTATGTAGCCCGGACGGCCCCCAACCGTCCATGGTCTATTTACTATTTGCTGTAACAATCTAGCACAAACTACGAGACAAATTCAGTGGGGACACGAACCCGTCGGCCCCTTATCTGAACCGTAGATGGGAAGGGAAGACACCACTCGTTCATCCTCCTGCGACTTTGCAAGTTGCTGTCGAACCCAGACAGCGACAGGAGCAAATCCACTCCAGCATTGGCAGCGAACAACTCCGGCCCTGACACGGTGTCGGAGTAGTGCGCTTCAGGCGAATCTTGACGCCAATGCCAACGCCAACGCCGACTCTTACGAGATGAAGTTAGGGGGTGTGGGAGAGGTGTCCTATCTACTATCTACAGTATCTTCCTACGGAATGGGGGTGGAAACGGATGCCCTGAGTCGGCCTGCCTCGATAGCGCGAGACTGATATTCTTCTCGCCGCCAGGTTCAGTTTCTTGGTCACGTCACGTCCATTCAGAAGATCCAAGATGCCGAAATTCAATGCCGTCCCCAGCCTGTTCGGCGCATTGAAAGACCAGGTCATTGTGCTCACAGGTACAGTACATACGTGTCCCCTCCCACTGCAGAATCTAGAATCTGGGCCCCGTAGCCCAAGCCCAGGTATTGACATGTATGTATTGACCGTCCAGCAGGTGGCGCCCGTGGAGTTGGCGAATCCATTGTCCGGCTTTCCTACTTGGCCGGAGCACATGTGTTCTTTGGGGACATCGACCACGCCCTGGCTCAGCAAGTGGTGGGCCGGTTGAAAGCAGAACACCCGTCTTCCAACGATCTGGTCGCGGTAAGTTTCGACGCGAGAAGCTACGCAGACAACATCAGATTGTTCAAGACGGCCTACCAGGCACATGGCCGGGTGGATCATGCCTTCTCCATTGCCGCCATCACTGAAAGCCAGAACTGGTATGACCCTGGCTTGGATCTGGAGACCATTGAGATCCCGCCGCCCACGGCTGTGATCGACATCAATCTCACCGGTGTGCTGTACTTCACTCGCATCGCTGCTGTCTATCTGCGACAAGGCAATCAAGGCAGCAGTCGACGTCGAGACAAATCAATCTGCCTCATGGGCTCGATTGCATCCTTCAGAGAGCAGGCCGGGCTCTATGTCTACCAGCCAACGAAACACGGCGTGCACGGTTTGCTCCGTGCGACTCGCAAAATCCTGTATCACAAGTTCAACATCCGAATCAACATGGTCAATCCTTCGCATATTGACACGGTCATGGGGTCATCCGTCCACGACTTGTGGGAAAGCCACGGCCTGCCCGTCAATACTGCAGAGGCGGTCGCCGAGCATGTCTTGACACTGGCCAGCCTGCCCGAGGATCCCTATGTCGGCCCTGTCTCTGGACTGGCCATCTATGTCGAGGGAGGCAAAGGATGGGAGATTGAAGAGGATTTGGACAAGACTGATCATCTATGGATGGGTGAAGAGATGTCGCGCAATTTCTCCAAGATACAAGAGGCGCTTGGGTTAGGCGTCGACTGGGAGCCAACGAAATGAAGTGATTGGGAAATTCACATACGGGTATCTCTAACATGTTCATGCTAGCATGTGCATATGCCTTGGAAAAATAAAGGTGAAGAGAAGCTCACAGCATCCTGACTTTCCTCATCCTTTCCATGAAGGATCTCCTATTCAGCAAACCCGCGCAACAAACTGGAATCAAATGAATGGTCTCATGTCGACTTTGACTCGAGGTGCTGTTCTCGACCAAGGTTACAAGCAGAAATCGGGCACTCTAATGGCCTGCTACGGTTGTCTCCAAAACCGACCAATATACCGGACAACAGTCATAATGAGAAGAAAGAAGCCCCTCGGAGATGGAGGTCATCAATGCTGGTATCATCAACCTATCGCCCTAAAGATCAGAGGCGACTGAAACATTGTGGTCCTTGGCGCGACTTTCTCATCCAGATTCTCCCTGTCTGATATGCGAAAGAGGCATTATGTATCATGTACATATCTGATCAGGATCCAGCTTGCACTCTTGGAGGGAGCTCTATTTCTATTTTTGGGGGAAATGGTCGAGGTCGAGTCTTGGCTGGCGCGCAATGTCCAATGTCCTCCGGGAGCCTTCCCCTGAGGCTACAGCCTTCCGACTCGAGGGTGCGGCAGAATGTGCGGTTATGATTCGGATCAGAGACACTTACTATTGTCCTTCACTTTCACTCAATGATTATTGTCTCTTTGAACACAGGCCAACCATTGATTGTCCTCTTCTGGTCCTGGCCAATGAGACCCGCGCCGTCGCCTATTCACACGATCCTCCCATTGATATATTCTGCCACACCCACGTCCAAGCACCATTGATATATTCTGCAACACCCACGTCCAAGCACCATTGATTGCTATTCAATGCACCCGTTCCACCACAATACAATACAGATGCACACCTGCATTGGGGACCTCCATTGGGTCTGCTATCAATCAACCATGGAGGGTCCCGAACTATGGACTGCTTCAAATTCATATATCCCTCTTCTTCCCTCGGCCACTATCATCTGTCTGATCTCACACATACACATACCCATACCCATACTCTTCCCCTTGTCGTTGGAATATCAGGTACAGGACAACAACAAACTCTGTCTGTATCTCATTCAAGTGTGCAGTCAAGATATCTATCTACAACGCCGATTGCTCTTTCCTCTTGAACGCCACGGCGTCCGATTGGTGTCCGTCTATTCATGTCCTTCCATTGGACGATGGTGATGTCTACAACTACCTCGATGCTCATCCGGACTTGATTGCCAGGTACTTGAAAGAGCGGGCTCCGCTGGCGGAGTCTCTCCTCAAGGAATTCCTTCCAGGTCACGTCAGGCCCGCTGAGACAGTCAACAACAATCCAGCAGAGAAACCGGGCCCTGACACTACTCTCGAAGACGATCTGGAGGTCATGTTTCCCGGTGTCGAGTTTGACAAGGAGCTCTTTGTTGATGATGTGGATGAAGTCGAAACCAATGCTGCTGTTGACAAGGAGCAAGAGCAACAAGAGCCAATCCTGGTCTCTGACGACGAGTCTGAGGAGGAGCACGATGGCCAATCTGTCGAGGCTACCGCATACGACCAGGAGTCCGAAGATGAATATGATCACGAATCCAAAGATCATGATGCTCACGAATCTGAGGATGATTCTGACCCAGACTTTGTTGATGACCACGACCAAGAACCAGCTGAGAATTCCGACCAGGAACTGGACGAGGAGGTCACTCAGGCTGCTCCGGACAACGGCACTTACCAATCGGACCTCAAGTCTCTGGTGTCTTCGCCATCGTTGTCGCTCTCCGGACGTTTGACGCCAGCATCACCAATCCTGTCTCCGTTGCCATGTGCTTCGCATCCATCACCGGCGCCGGCACCATCACCAGCTCTGTCTCCATCTCCAAGATCATCACCAGTCCCAACTCCGAGTACGTCTCCACGTCCAACACCACAGCCAGCTCGGTCGGCTTCTTATCCTCCATCTCCAACCCCCACACCGGAGGGCAACTCTTCCACACCAGAGGGCAACTCTTTTCTCCCGTTCCCTGCACCCGCGAACCTTGTTGCGGCGTCGAGAATGGAGCCCGAGGGCAAGAAGTGGCGATTGTTCGAGGAAGAAGCATGCATCCAGCACATGGTCCACATCCGAGACGAAGGCAAGATCAAGGGCGAGGCCCGGTTTGCAGAAGCTCAGCGCCGCATGGCTCAGATTGACGGGATCACGAAAACCGGCAAGTTCGCAGTCAAGAACTTCTGGAACCGTGTCGGCCGCGCTCGCTCCGGCTTTGACGAACGCAAGAACAAGAACGCACCTCTGGCCACTTCCCAGCAGGGCAAACCTGGCTCTGGTGGAATTGCTCAGCCGAAACCGTCCAAACTCAAGCGAAAGGCCCAGACTCAGACTCAGCGTCGGGCTTCGTCAGCCAAGTACACCACCACCCCAGGCAATAAGCGTCGCCGAATCTACGAGACCGAGACCGAGACCGATTCTGACGACGACGACAAGTACGCGACAGACGACTCCGAGCCGGTCAGGGCACCTACCCGCAAGAGAGACAGAGACGACAGCGAAGATGAGTGGCAGCCGGACGAGCAAGTCATCAATGCACTGCAGAAGGGGTTGAGGGCACCGAAAAAGGCTCGCATTGCATATTGAACAAGAACGGCCAGTCTGCCTGACGTAATTCCGGAACAGGGAAAATACCATCACGTCGATTTAAAGATTGAAAGATACGACATGCACATGCCACGAAAAGTTAGGTATATTGGGGAACATGAACAAATAACAAAATACGACACATCTTGCGCAATGGTTCAAACTGAAGGGTGAACATGGGATGTTGGACTTGCTAGGGCATTTTGGCTAGGGGCAAGAACATAACAGACGACTGGTCCGATCTGATTGAATCATGAATCATGAAGCTGGAGGCTGGAGCCTGGAACCTGATGGAATGCGGGGAAATGTCAACAGCATATGACATAGGCTTATGCTTGCTCTTGTCTTTTCGACATATGATAGCCTTGATATTCGCTAGGAATATTCACAAAATGGAAAAGCATTGATTAGGAAACCGTGCGCCGGCCGTCTCATACGCTTTGATTTCTTCTCTTCCGACTTCTATCTAGGCTTGTCCCCAGCAAGCGTGATCCTGAGCATGCTCCTTCGGTATCCATGATAGTCATTGACGGGATAGTGCTGCACGCACCGATTGTCCCAGAAGGCGATGCTGCCCACCTCCCAGCGGAATCGACAGGTGAACTCCGGCTTGATCTGGTGCGCGAAGAGAAAGCTCAACAACGGCGCAGACTCGCCTTCTGTCCAACCTTCGAAGTGTGCCGTGTGCGCGACACTGACGTAGAGCGCCTTGCGGCCTGTCTCTGGATGCGTCCGGACCACAGGATGGGTGGCCTCGAGCATGGTTGTAGCGGCGCCGTTTCCGCTGTCGCGGATCCTGTCTTCACGGGTCTTGCTAGCATCGGCTTTGGCAGAGGTATTGACCGCGTTCAGCGAGGATAGGGTTCGCTTCAGGCCTTCGGAGAGACCCTCATATGCGGCGTATTGGTTAGCAAACATGGTGTCCCCGCCAAAAGGAGGTACCTCCTTCGCCAGCAGCAGCGTGCCCATGGGTGGCTCGGCGAAGTACGACGTGTCGCTGTGCCAAATGCCGCCAAAGTTAACGGTCTCGTGTTCCTGCTTCAGCACCTGGATGATCTCCGGGAAGCCGTCAATGCCCCGCACAAAGGGGTATTCGGCAGGCTTGCCGAAGTGCGATGCAAAGCTGAGGAACGCCGCTGGCTTGAGGTTCTGGTTGCGGAAGAAGATTACCTGGTGCTCGAGGATTGCTTCGCGGATCTCCTGCGCAATGCCTGGATTCTCGGGTAAGAGATTGAGGTCGACATCTTGGATCTCAGCCCCTAAGGAGCCGGCGATGCGCTGGACGCACAGATGTCTCCTGCTGGATGGCCGGAGAACCAAGGGCCGCAGCGCAGAGAAACCATAGCGGCGGCGTTGAGAAAGGCGCTTGGTCACGTTCATGGGTTAGGCCCGGTATACGACGGCAGGCCTTAGGCGATGGTAGGGTAGATGAGGATCCTCCGGGAGGAAGTATGATGAACAGAGGTAGAAGTAGAAGTCCCCATTCCTCGGTTGGAGACCTGTCCGACCAGACCTACAGGTGTCCCCATCTCTTCTGATAGCCTTGTACTCCTCATACAAGACCCCGCTGGGTGGGAATCCGGCTTGTACAGTTTGGGTATCGAGGATGTAGGTCCGCAGTACGGGTTACGTCTGATAGCAGCGCAGCCGCGGTTACAGTCATGGGTACCTAAATTAATGTATGTACAAGGCGCAGAGGAGTGAGGGGAAGAAAGCGGAGGGGAAATACAAAAGCAGCGGCATTAGCTTACCACGTTGGGACATGTGAGAAATGTCTCAACCGGAAGCCTCAAAGCTGGCCGACGACAAGGCGGACGATCAATCGATCACTCGGACCTCGTTTGCCCATCTTTGTCTGCTGCTCCCACCGTGCCTTGTACATTCACAGCCAGCTCACATCAGAATCCTTTCTCTGACCCTATTGTCTACGTCACTCTCACGGTAGACGGTCCTCTGTCACTCTGTCACTGCACTACCATCCCAACCTACCCTCTTCTCGCCGTGGACTCATTCACAACCGTGCGTCCACAACCAACACCATGCACCAATAAGTCTCAAAAAGACACTCCCTCCTATCCTCACCCTTAGCAGGGACCGGTCTCTATCATTTCTTGACGCGACATCACATCTCCACAATCGCTGTCGCTGTCGCTGTCGACGGGAACAATGGCTCTTGTGATGGAACCAAGAATGTCCTCGGCGCAGGACGCCGATCTCATGGACATCGACATCGACATGGATCTCGACGACCATGACATTCCCATCGAAGAAGAGTATCAGCTAGAAGTACGAGATAATCTTCTTAACCTTAGTCTGTTCCGAGCACGCAACCTGACATACCATCCAGGAAGGTGAAGAGCCCTCGTTTGTACCATCAGGCGCAACTGTCCCAGACTCCTCAAACGTTATCCCTGCCATATACACAGAAGACCCAGATCTTGAGCCGCAATGGAACAAAGTGCACATCCGCGGAGTTGATGACATGCATACCAACGACATCCTCGCCTTGGTTCACGACAATTTGAGTGAAGCTGGTGACGACGTCCGTGTTCAATGGATTGATGATACATCTGCAAACATATGTTTCAAAGACAATGCTACCGCCAAACGATCACATTTGGCACTGCTTGCAACCCCCATCACGGTCGACGAACTGATGATTGCGCCATTTGAACTGCGCACCGCCAAGCCGTTGGCGAGCAGACCAGCAAGTATGCTTGTCGTCAGAGTCGCGCAGCAAGGCGACAGAAAGAAGAAGGGGGCAAGAGATGCAAGTAGGTACTACCTCTTACACCCGGATCAGGATCCGACCGAGCGTATGCGGCGCGAGTTTGCAAACAGTCGAACGTCGAGGACCGAAACCGGAGACTACAAACGCAGGCGATTTGATGACCGCGAGCTGCATCGAAGACGAAGAGACCATGACCACAATGCCGAAGGGACAGATTTCTCTGCGAATATGTACGATGATGCGCCCGCGACCGACTCAGTACAGCCAGCCAGAGGTCGAGACTTGTTCTCCCGAGTGACAAAGGTTAGACGACGTAGTGCGAGCCCCAGCGGGTGGACCCGGAATAGTGATGAGATTGTCCTCTCAGACTCGGAGGACGATGGTCGGCTCCGCAGACGCGGCCACAGCTATCGCGATCGCAGCGATCGGGCTCCTCGTTCGAATACTGGAAAGGAGCTCTTCGGTACCACCCCTGACCGCAAGAGTGGTGGACTTCATTCCGACAAAATAGACCTCTTCCCTTCGAAAGACACAAATGCAGATACAGCTATGGCCACGGATCAGACCAATAAAGCCGGTTCCAAAGCTATTTCTGATCCATCGAACACTCGTGCCAATGCCGCGGCTGCGAAGAGATTGAAGGCCGACCTTCTAAGTGCGGCTCAGACTAGTCCTCGCTCACACCATCGCCGCAGCCACGCCATGGATGCAAAGAACGCGGAAGACCTCGCCGAACGATTTGCTCGAAAATCCATATCGATCGACAGCTCCAAGTCGTTCAAGAACGGGACAGCCAACGGTGGGATCGAGCTCTTTCCTTCTAATTCCACTGCTGGCGGAGGGTTGAGTATCAAGGGGTCTGCCCAAGAAAAGGATAACGCCGGCTTCAGCATTAAGGGATCTGGAGGGTTGAGCATCAAGGGGCGGGCTGGCGTCAAGGAACTGTTTCCGAAACAGTATGAGCGCGGAGGAAGGAACGAAGGTAAAGAACTCTTCGACCAACCGGTGCGGGCGAAAGCAGTTCGACGACGTGCCGGTGATTTGTTCGACTGAGACATTGGCATCGGAAGACGGCTTCGTTGCATAGAGAGCAGAAAAGATCTGCCGGCAAGTTTTTCAGATCCGGCTTCCAATTCAAAGGCGGTGCGAGTGCTGCTATTTCGGTCTCAGTGGCGTGCAACATGTTATGAACCCCAAGATCAGGGGTTGCGAAGGTTTCCTGGAGCTGGATGACACCCTCCCGGAAGTGTTATGTATTTTTAAGGCAGCGACGGTAGATCCGACCGAGCGAGCAGAGATTGGAAATCAAGGCGGAGCCAAACGATACTCGAAGGGAAAGAAGTGCATGGGTCAAATGGAACATAGCTACGCCACATACAGCCACGATCCGGTATGCCATGGGACTCGATGATTTGATATTCGATATTTGATATCACGGCTTGAGAGTCACGCGATATAGAATGACAGCCAGAAGAAACTTCTGAATCAAGCCACAAACCAAACCATCTCGGTCAAAGGCCGCATGAGCTCTAAAACATAGATGTGAGCTGACGCATACAGCCTCCTTGTAATAGTATGACCTTCTTTCGTGCCGACATGTGTCTCAGTGGGACATAACAGAGAATTGTTGGATCGAGTCTGCCCCTAGAGTAGTCCTCGTGCGCAATCTGCATAGCGATTGCAGCGTGGTACGAGGACAAGGGTTTCTTACATGGTTCTTGTCGTCCGGTTTCTCACCCAAACGAGACTGTGGTCCCAACATGCCTGCACCTTGTCCACTGAAGCCGGCCCAATTCTCGACATGAGAACGATCCCTTGCTCATCACGAAGCGAGATGGATGTTCAGAAGATAAACAGAGGTAAGTGATCTCTCAGGGACGTGTTCTAGATCTTGAGAGAGTGGACCCAGCAATCACCATGCATCGCGGCACATCTCCAAAGCGCTGAGCTGTATTCTGCGCTCAGTCTCACCGTCAGGTATATTCCAAGGCCAATAACCTAGGACATTCACTGTGGGAGCTGGACAACCGCGATAGTATCTGTCCTGAGAACTGCGGCTGTTTGATATTCAGAAGTGGTAGGTGAATTTACGTCCAATAATGGGCCCTTGCCAAACTCAGATGCGGAGATGAGTGAACAGGTCAGTTGTTCAGCAACCAGGTTTTCCGTTCGTCGTCCTGTCACGTCGCACCCAGTAGAGCCAGTGCTGCTCTCAGTTCCCGGACGGCGGTAGGGACATCTTCAAAATCCAAAGCTGAAATGGCCCATCGTGCGTGTTTCTGAGCTTTCATCATTGCTTCCTCATCAACGATAGCATCTACCAGTTGCGCAGGCGGAGGGGGATGGGCGGGGTGAACTGGTGAAGGCGATATAATCTGCTGCGGCTGGGGGGTAGGAGGAACTGGTCCGCGAGTCTGTCGAAATTGTGGAGGCTTCTGAGGGATTTGAGGTTGAGGGACCTGAGGCTGAAAGTTCGGAGGAATCTGTGGCGGCTGGCCTGGGCCGGGCTGCGGCAGAAATTGTCCATGCCGGTGCGGAGGAGGAGGGGGCGATTCACGACTCGGCTGGTTGAGCCCTGCGAGCAAGCTACGTCCCGATTCGAATGATAGTTCTAGCGATGTCGGCGGAAGCCCAGCAGGACTACTCGCAAGATCTGTTGGAGCAGAAGGTATAATGGGACCTCCCCCCAGGGTTGTAGGTGCTGAAGGGAGCTCCGGGGCCGGCGGAGAAGGAACTCTAGGGAAATAGTTGCCACCAATTGATGGTTTCCTCTCTGACGGGGCCTCGAGCGGTGATATATTGGCCGGTCCAAGCTGGTTCGTGTAGAATGATGCCGCGTCATCTGGCACTAGCGGGGAAACGTTATTCGTCGGCGTGCGAGGCGTAGAGGGCGCCGCGGAGGGATGAATAGATTCGTCGATCGTCGACTGGGCAGCGAGATTGCTCTGAACACGGTCTCCCTCATCTGTCACTTCAACAACAGAAGGTTGACGCTCTCGCTTTGCTGTGGGTGGTGGCACAGATGTGTCTCTTGAAGGATGTAAAGATTCGTTCCCCAAGGACTTTTGTGCAAGGCTCTTCTGAATCTTGTCCGCCTCGTCGGGGACCTCCACGACAGATGGCTGCCTCGGCCTTCTGCCACCACCTTCCAAAGCTTGGACATCTGCATCACTAGGATCCAGAGCAGGGAGGGTGTCTTCAGCTGGCGGCACTGGCTTCGGGTTGGACAGATTGGGGTCTTCGCCGCTTTGAATGGCCTTGACTATCCTCACAGCATGGTACTTTGCATACTTGATCCTACCGCTGATTTCCGAGTCGAGAGGGCCCCAGATTTGGAGCAGTTCCAAAAACGTGGCCGCAGCCCGGAATGTGTCCGCAGTCTGCTTCGTAGCCTTGTTCGCTCGCACCGCATTGTCTGCTCTTTCTAGTGTTTCCAATGCAAACTGTTCCACGTATGCTTTTCCAACTATATCGTCCGACACGGCAGATTCCTCGGCGTGCTCGGCTTTGAACTAGGAAGAGTGGTCAGACCGCACCTAAGAGTCGGCTACTGGGGACCTACTTGTTCCAACTTGTCCATGAGCGAGGTGGTGTAAACGAGACATTCTTGGTCGGTATTGTGCAATCCTTTCGATAAGATCTGATTGACAATCCAGTAATCACCTGGGGACTGGTCAACATGGCAGTCGTCCCTGACGGAAGTCAACGCAACGTACACCAATAAGCAATGATCGGCTTGATTTTCTCCAGCTGGGCTGCCCGGTGAGCAAAAGCTGTAATATCAGCTGGCTTGAGAGCAGCCGGAACTTGCGCGGCCATTATGCAGAACCGCCTCTTGGAAATGGAAATGGAAATCACAGAACCATATGCCTTGGACCAGCGGCGCCGTGTTGATATGACGTTTTGGGGAGGCCTTTGTCGGAGGCGGAGGTGTTGCTCTGCCTGCCGCAGTGTACGGTGAAGGATTCGGCCCGGCGACAAATGGAATTTCCACCTTGATTCACCGTAGAGCTCAGCTATAGCTTTCCCTGCATGCGGTCTCCAAGAGCTGCGAAACGATGTGCCTCACTCACGGGCTGGCTGGCTACCAGATAGCTAGCAAGCTAGCAATGTGTCTGGCAGGGACCTACAGGACATCTGATGCTGTGAGAAGGTTCCCGACTCCGACTTCCCCTGCCGCGCCTTGATCTGAGACACTACTCCGGGATCGGTTATCTCTGCTCTCACTAGCAAGACTCCCACCTCCTTCTTCCGGGCTGCTACTCCCCCCTTCACCATCAATCTCCAAGCACCGCGGGTCAAGCTTGATTGACTCTGTGATATGTAAGGCAGCCAATCATTCCCTGTTCTCCCCGAGAAGGGAGGTCCTTACAGATTGCGTGTCCTCTGTCCTGTCGCCCACCAGTCGCAAATTAACTCAGGAGACTGAACTCTCGCTTCCGTTGGAACGATTGTGATAAACGGTATGTCTGACCGCCGGTTCATCCAGGTATTTGGTTATGTGTTGTGCCTGCGGGTTCCAGTGAACATTTGCCTCTGCAGCGCCCGTCGTCAAGAAACACGACTACACACCTTTCCTCTTAGAATTCTTCTCTTTTTAACCTTGTCTCCTAAGTGATCCATTCACTCACAACTGGAAACTTCTCCTAGGCAAAATGTCACGATCAAACCAGGTCTACATTAATCAAGATAACGGCGAGTTCGTGTGCCGGCCTTGTGATCGATCGTTTTCGACTCTCAATGGCGCCCTAAATCATTGTCAAAATGCCGCGGTTCATTCTGGAGAATGGTGTAACCGATGCGAGCGACTTTTCGTCTCTCCTGCAGCGTGCGCGGCTCACCAAGCCACTTCTCATCGTCACAATATCTGCCAGCACTGCGACTTGGACTTCTGCATCTCAGACGACTTAGAGGACCACGAAGTCAACGTACATCATCGGTGCACAGATTGCGGGCTAAAATTCATAAATGACAACAACCTTTAACAGGTATGGCAGTGTCACAGCAATATCAGCAAATCAGCTTCTGGATGAGGTGACCTCATTTCTGAATTTAGCACAAGCGTGTTCATCTGGCACGAGACATCGAGTGCTTGGGCTGCTACCACAAGTTTTCTGAGTTTTCAGCCATGGTGTTGCATCTTGAATCTGGCAACTGCGGAATTGGCGTGGACAAGGATGATATCGACAATTTCATTTTCGACACTTTCGAGTGCGAAGATTATAGAAACGGATGGATGGACGAGCATCGATTTCGTTGTCCCACCTGCGGCACCAGCTTCGGATTCGTGAGTGCTCTATTGCAGCACGTGGCAAGTCAAGCTTGCTACGAGGATTTGGGAAGGACGAACAACATCTTCATGGACTGTATTGCATGGCGCATGTAGTGAGTGTCCTACACAGCTGGATGATTACATATGGGACTCCCTGGTGTCTCGGTGTGAGATGCTAATGGAAAGCACCCACTGCCAGTAAAGTTTCCTTTCGACAAGTGTCTAAGTCCTCATAAGTAAACGAGATAGTACATCTGCGATTCTTGACATATTTCACCCTTTGTTTTATAGCATTCTTCCGAGTATCCGTCCTCCACCTCTCCAAGGCTGTTTTTCCTGAAATAGCGTGACAAGGGCCAGTGTCGCGCCGTACCGCACCTCCCGGAGGCCATTTCCGGCCATCCCTGATAGCAGGTGGCACCGAAAAACCATCCATCCCGGACCCCGAGGCGATCATCACGACTCAACCTGACGGGATTCTTCGTCGGCCCTATACTGCTCATTTGCTCTCTAATGTCTTGACTTCGCTCTCTTCAAGTTTCTTTCATGTATCTTCCTCCCCTTGCCCGAGTCTGAGGCGAACGCGCCAGGTTGAAGCGCTCTTCGCCGGTCTTTGCCGTCATGTCTTCAGTCGGCGCCGTACGAGGCCCAGCATTCCTCACTCGTTCTTTGGTTTTTACTCCCTCTCATATCCACCACCGTGCGGGCAAAACCTCTCGTCAAGATCCAGCCCTTGCTTACCGTATCTTCCTAGACCTGCACCGAAACATCCGAAGAAGCCTCGATCCCTACAAGACCCATGCGAGAGCCATGCATTCCTCTCCACGAACTGCTGCCTCTGCCACACGCGCAACATCTCCTTCCGCGATCCCGCATATCTCATTACACATCGCCGCGTCCTCGAGCGGTAAGGGACGAAAATACCGGCCAGAACTTTCTACATTCGACTACCAGTCCAACAGTGCCAACGGACTAGGGCTCCAACGCGGGTCGACACTCGAAGAGAAAAGATCCAACCGTCCCGATAGCGGCCAGGATGCGTACTTTGTCACGCAGGTCGGGCAGGACTCAAATACGACGGCCTTTGCGATTGCAGACGGCGTGGGAGGCTGGACTGATCGCGGCATTGATCCCGCAGACTTCTCACACGGGCTGTGCAGCCACATGGCGGAGACGGCCCTTTCTTGGCCCGAAGATGAACGGCTCACACCGCAGCAGCTGCTGGAGGTAGGATACAAGAAGACCATCAGCGATCCATCGATCCAGGCTGGGGGCACCACCGCCTGTGTTGCGGTGACACAGCCTGACGGACAGATGCGGATCGCCAACCTGGGTGATTCAGGCTTTCTGCTTCTTCGCCTGGGGACAGTGCACCAATACTCGAATCCGCAGACCCATGCTTTCAACACGCCGTACCAGCTAAGCCTGACTCCTCCGGAGATGATTGCTCAGGCCTTGATCTTCGGCGGCATGCCTTTGAATGACAAACCCGACCGTGCCGACCTTGCGGACTACACCCTGCGACACGGTGATGTCCTGATCCTCGCCACAGACGGCGTCTGGGACAATCTCAATTCGCAGGATATTCTGTCCATCGTGTCCAACACCATGCGTACGACTGGCGCGTGGCTAAGGTCGCCTGGTCAAGGCTATACCGTGTCCCCTGTCCTTTTTGAGCTGGTGGACAGGTCACTCGCCACCCAGAAACACAAACTCCCTGGCTCGTTGCAGAGCATTTTAGCAGCCGCCATCGTCGGCGAAGCCAAGACGGCGAGTATGAACTCGAAACGAGATGGCCCGTTTGCAAAGGAAATGCAGAAGCATCACCCCTTCGATCCGTGGCATGGCGGTAAGGTCGATGACATCGCCGTTCTGGTTGTAATTCCTGTCGACGAGAGCAAATCGCAAAAGAGCGGCAAGATCAGGGCGAAGCTATGAATGGACATCTATTCGGTGTATTTAGTAACAGGACAAGACTTTGCATGTGTCGACGTAGAGCAAGTCATTGACGAACGGACACCAACGGCCTTCACCTTGGACAAAAGGTAGAGGCCGAAATACACACACCACGGCTTGACCAACAGCACAGCAAATTGTGACCCAGCATAGCACACAGCTCAACACAGCACAGCTCAACAGCACAGCTCAACACAGCATACACAGCATACCACGATTATACAGCATAGCGCCGGTGTTTCTTTGGTTTCCCCCGGGTTGGATACTATAATCATTGCGTTCGCAAGTGTCCCGGTCCTACGTGGCTTGTTGGGAGAGAATCAGATGGCACGTTCAATATTGCATATATGTACATTTCAGCGCTTTATTGCACGGCTACCTGACTTGGCGTTGGTATCTCGCCCGGTCTAAGTTGGAGGTCGACTAGGCTAAGATAAACTCCATAGCATAAACGGAGACTGCTACTGGTCCCGTAAGTTCGTACTGTACATACAGTGTGTGGTAAACATGTACCGAGTAACGCATCAGTGGCAAGGACAGTTGTCGGTGTCTGTCCTGTATTTGTTTCTGGATATTGACCACTGCAGGTGGCAGCTCAACTATGGCTTCATAATTTGTTGTCCGAGCGGCCTTCGATCCTGCAATTTGGCACACTTTTGAACGTATAAAAAGTCTCCCTTCTAGGAAAGGCTGCCTGAGGCCGAAAGCGTCCCAGCCAGCAGAATATGGTGAATTTACCCTTGATATGGTCTCGAATGCACGCATACAGTTAGTTGTCCACAAAGTCGGTGGGCACGCCACAAAGGCTGAAATTACTATTAGAACAGCACAGCTTGAACGTACAAGGTTACGGCGGAGTAAGCGGCATAAATAGTCGTTATTTCACGCGCTGCCTGCGGCATCTGTGTACCTGGCAACGACGACCTCTGCTATCGGGCCTCAAACTGTTGCCCAACCCGGAGCTTTCCTTTTGTCCATTGTCTGCGCGGCTACCTGGCCGAAATGGCCTCTCCAGAATTCGCAGCAGCTCTGGAGTCGGTTGCAGATAGTTCCTCCGGCGTCAAGACCCGAACGTACAATGACCTACTCTCTCAACTTAGCAACCATCCACCCGCTTCCCCTCAACAGCATGCCGCAGAGCTCATTGCCTACGTCGATGCGATCCTCTCCTCATCACTGGGTATTATCACCGTCCGGCCGCTCCTGGCCAGCGTCATCAAATCTCTCGGTTCCGCTCCCTCGGAAGTCAAAGTTAAGGTAGGCTCACATATCGCCGAAGCATTACATTCCCAATTAGCTTCGTACGAGGAGCAGGATGCGGAGGTCAGACAGATACTAGCAGACGGTTTCGAAGTGGAGGAGGAGTACACTGCGGCCGCAAAGGCGCTACAAGGTATTCACCTCGACACAACCCAGCGCCAAGTGTCGGATCGGTCGAAGGTCGAGACGTGGATTCGGATCGTGAGATACTACTTGGAAGATGACGACACTGTTGCAGCGGAGACAGCGTTGAACAAGATTAAAAATTCCGCCCCGGCGGCCCAAGTCTTGAAGGAGGCACCTGATTTGAGGTTGCACTATCAGTTGTCCCAGGCCCGGATTCTGGACTCTCGCCGAGACTTTCTGACCGCCTCTGCGGAATATCTAAATGTGTCCTTCAATTCCATGATTGATGACGAAGAGCGCCGACGAGCATTATCCGCTGCCATCAAGACGGCGATTCTTGCTCCAGCTGGTCCGCAGCGAAGTCGTATGCTCGCTAAGTTGTACAAGGATGAGAGGTCGCCCGAGACAGAGGAATATGGGATCCTGGAGAACATGTTCCTGGACCGGTTGCTGTCACCAGCGGAAGTTGAAGCATTCGCGTCGACATTGGCACCTCATCAACTCGCCAAGACGGCAGATGGCAGTACCGTCCTGAGCAAGGCCGTCATTGAACACAACCTGCTGGCCGCCAGCCGATTGTACGAGAACATAACCACGGCGGCTTTGGGTCAGATACTGGGTCTTACAGACGGTAAAGACGAAACGGCCGCAGAAAAAGCGGAGGACTATGCGGCGAGAATGGTGGAACAGGGTAGACTACGAGGCGAGATCGACCAGATTGCAGGCGTTATTGTGTTTGAGACCATTCCGGACGTCGAGTTGCATGGCCCTGTTCGGGATCTCCGAGCGTGGGATTACGCTGTCCAAGGGTTGGTGGAAGATGTGGAACGGTGTGCTGCCGCTCTAGGTGAAAGCTTTCCGGTAAGTGGGTGCGAGTACTGATTGGAGGCGGAGGCTGACTGTTACATCCAGGAGTGTGCGGAAGGCCAAATGGTCCAGTGAAGACGAGTCGAAAAACTGCGATTCATGCAATATCCCTTAGGCCCGTCCTCACATCGTTCATTAGACAGCATTCTCGCAGCTTCGGTGGATCAGAACGATCATTTAGCGCACCAGCACAACCACTTCAACTGACGCGAATTCCACGTTTCTCGATGGGATGTGATGTCGCTGTGAACAATCCATGGTATTTCGGCCCTTGGAGTAGTCCAACGGCAATTCAGAGTCAGGACTACGGCATCCTTCAATGCTGTGGGGAATGAATACGGAGCTGGAACGATTATGTCGAACCAATGTCCAGTAGGTGGAGAAGAAGGAGGGGGCCGCATATGGGACGAGATATCTGAACCTGGCTATCGGATGAGGGCGACAGCAGGGGGCGGAAGTAGACCCTCTGAGATGGACGTGCTCCAGCTGCGTCCCATCGACTATCGCAAATAATGTCCATGAAGACTGCCACTGCCATGGCCCTAGGGCCTCAGGCCTCAGGGACCCCTAAGGCCCAACTTATCCGGCAGCGGCGTGGCTCAGGCACAAGGCGGGGGGGTTAAGGAGGTGTTTGTACGAGTACGAGTACTACTCCGTAAGCATCCCCGCATTTAAAGCAGCTGCGCCGACTCCGGGGTGAGCGAGCAGGGGAACATTGTTAATCCGCGTCCGCATGGTCCCGCCTGCACCTGCGCTTAGGAGCTTCTCCAATCACTTCTCCCACAACTGTCAACTTCACTTCCCGTCCTGCGTACCCGACGTGCCTCCTCGAGTCCGTCAATCACCTCCGCTGCTGACCCTTCTGCCATCCCATCAGCTCAGCTCGGTGGACTCCCTATGCCGCCGGCTTCCAGGTCAACTCGCTTTCTTGCTCGCTCACGTTAGCCTCAGGCTCAGATCACTCGCTCCCGACTACCATTTAAAGCACACTCATTTCCAATTTCGAGCTTGAAAAATCATGTCCATCTGTCAAACTCTGTCTTGATTCCAGCAACGTCCTTTCTCTCCCGGACAGTGCCTTTTTCCTGCTTTCTTTCTTCCAGTCCTTCGTCACAATGCTCCTTGCTAGCGCTCTCTCGCCATGGACGCTGCTTCTTCTCCCGGTTCTTTATTACCTGCTCCCCTACCTCCGAAATTGGAGTCTGTTTAAAATTCCTGGGCCATTGCCGGCTGCTCTTTCCAACCTTTGGCTTCTGTACCAATGTCGGCGAGGACGGAGATATCGTGCTGTCGACGATGCCCACAAGAAGTACGGCAAGGTTGTTCGTATCCAGCCAAATCATGTCTCGATCGCAGATGACCACGCTATTGACACCATATATGGACATGGCAATGGCTTTTTGAAGAGGTGAGTCAGTCAGTTGTCCCAGATCAGGTACTGTGCTAAGAGAAGCTTAGTGAATACTATGATGCCTTCGTTTCCATCCACCGAGGCCTCTTCAACACCCGTGACCGAGCTGAACACACCCGCAAGCGCAAGGTTGTTTCGCACACCTTCTCCGCCAAATCCATCGGGCAATTCGAGCAATACATCCATGCCAACCTCGACCTTTTTGTTATGAAATGGACCAAAGTGGCTAAGACCAGGCAGAGTCCCTCGACAGGCTACGCTTCCATCGATGCTCTCCACTGGTTCAACTATTTGGCCTTCGATATCATCGGCGACCTCGCTTTCGGCCAGCCATTCGGCATGCTCGAACGCGAAAGGGACTTTGCTGAGATTCGCAAATCTCCAGATGCACCACCTACGACGGCACCAGCCATTGAAGTCCTGAACCGCCGCGGGGAAGTCTCGGGCACACTGGGTTGCCTCCCACAACTGAAGCCCTGGGCCAAGTATCTCCCAGATCCATTCTTCAGCCAAGGTGTTCAAGCGGTAGAACAACTCGCAGGTATCGCCATTGCGCGTGTGAAGCAACGGCTCGAGAATCCTGTGGACCGTGTCGACCTGCTTGCCCGCCTGATGGAGGGGAAAGATGCCAAGGGCGAGAAACTCGGGCGCGAGGAGCTTACCGCCGAAGCATTAACCCAGCTGATTGCCGGTAGCGACACAACTTCCAACACGGCGTGCGCCATCTTGTACTACGTCGTGCGCACACCCGGTGTGCTTGAAAAACTGCAGAAAGAGCTTGACGCCGCCATCGCTCCCGGTGTGCCCAACTACGAACAGGTCAGAGACTTGCCGTACGTGCAGGCCGTGCTCAACGAGACGATGCGGATCCATAGCACGAGCTCGTTGGGCCTGCCTCGCGTCGTTCCCCTCCCGACTCCTGAGCACCCGGCCGTCAACGGCGTCGATATTCTCGGCTATCACTTCCCTCCCGGCACCGTGCTCAGCGTACCCAGCTACACGATTCATCACTCTAAAGAAATATGGGGCCCTGATGCTGACGACTTTGTCCCCGAACGATGGGATGAGACGCGGCTGACGTCCCGCCAGAAGGATGCCTTCATCCCTTTCTCTGTCGGCCCTAGAGCATGTGTGGGACGTAACGTGGCAGAGATGGAGTTGAAGTGCATGATCGGCGCGGTGTTCCGAAACTTCGAGTTTAGAGACGAACATGTCGGCGAGATGAAGACGAGAGAAGGGTTTCTCAGGAAACCACTGGGCTACAATGTCGGAATTCGACTGCGCACGGCCTGATTGACTGATTGTCTCTCTCTGCTTGTTCTTGACCCAGATTGTCACGGCCTGGCCCAGACTACCTTAAGCCATTTGGGTCCTGTTTTGGGGCACAAACTATGTTGCATGCCATGGAAGGAAGATTATCTTGTATCACTTGATGATTGGTCACCCCGCAAGGTAAGGGGTCTAAGTATGAGTACGGATACTGAATATCTCTCAAGGACTTTGATGAATGGAATATGAATATGACAGTCCGGACATTCTATAAGCGTATTGCTAGTACTCTGTACATACTCCCTGATGCTACGGTATCATGGACCCAGCTATGTTCATGTTTGTTTTCGTTTGTTACTGTAGCAAGGATGCCGAGTCTCCAAGAGAAATGTGTCGAGTTCCGCGCTGTTGTAGCTGCCCACGATGAGACTCGTCTGGCCGTGGCATGGTGCATGATGCATGGTGCATGATGTATAAATAGCGTATAGCAGAATACAGATGGACCGGCCAGGATAGATGATATGTAGATGATAGATGATAGATGCGCAGGTCGAAGTCGTCGGCTCTATGCTCTAGGGCTCTATGCTCTAGGGCTCTAGGCTCTAAGGCTCTAAGCTCTAAGGCTCAGGCTTCATAAGAATCAGATAAATGCACTGACAGATACAGCAGCAGCAGCAGCAGAAGTAGCAGCAGAAGTAGTAGTAATGAATAAATGAATGATCAATGGTCATTCATGCTCGTGGTGTCCTTTCGCCTTTTATCCGGAATCGGAATTGGACTCGCTATCGCTATCGCCATCGCTATCGCCATCGCTCGAACGCACGCAACGCAACAAGCCAAACCAACAGGAGTCTAAACCCTCAAGTGATCCTACTCTTGGGCCGGTGCCCAGGGGGAAACCCACAACAGCCGCCAAATTGCCAATGCCAAAGCCAAAGCCAAAGCCAAAAAAACTTCGAATCGACAGTGAAAATCCAATGTCCTCTCTGCCCTATACATGGAGGGCAACCAACACCTTCCCTCGATCCGCGCTTGGAGCATGAATCTGTATCCAAACAAGCGACTGAAACTGCTTAGCCCTGCCTTTGAAAGCAAGCAGTATGACCAATGTGCGCGGAGAAAACCACTAAGCCACTACCAGGCTGTGCCCTCTTCCTGCGCCTGTCTCAACTTTTCGTAAAATGCCAAAGGCCATCCTTTCATCTCCTCATCCTTGGGGAGACAACTAACCCCTTCTGCGGCAGTGATCTCGCCTCTCGCTCTCATCGCTTCTTCTCTCCGCCGACAGTAGCCGACAACGTTCCCAATGACCCGACCCAGCATATCAGGACTGATCGCAACCGGGTTGAGAAATGGGTCTGACTCGTTCAGGAGTTCCTTGATAGTAGGCCGCAGAGATTGCTCACGCGTGAGACAGCGCCTTAATGTCTTGATCAGCCCGAAGGGCACAACTGCTCCGCCAATGCCCGTGTTGGGAAATTGAATCTCGACTTTCGGGTTCGGGATACTCATGATCCGTTCAAATTGTTTGGCGATGTGTGCAAATGGTGGCTGCCCGTATGTCATTTGGTATAGGATGCAGCCTAGACTCCAGACATCGCTAGGTTTGCCCAGTTTCAGCAGTTTCGTCCCGGGTGCGGATCCCGTTGCTGGGGTGTGGCATACCAGAGACTCGGGGCTCATGTAGTTGGGAGTTCCGATCTGATTTTCGCGGTGCACATTGACTGTGTCGTCCTGGATGGCGTTGGCGATTCCAAAATCAATCAGCTTGAGCTGTCCTTTCACCAGCAGGAAATTCGCCGGCTTGAGGTCGGAATGAACAATGTCATAGTCATGGACTGCCTGGACACATTCTAGCATCTCCTTCCAATAGTGTCGCGTGAAGGTGATGTCCAGTTTGGCGTTATCGGCCTTCAGCTGCTCGTTGAGCATTTTGTTGAAGTCGGATTCACCCAGTTCCATCATCACGTTCAACACGCCTTTCTCCTCATTGACTTCGTAATCATATAGGCGGATGACTCTGTCCACATTTTCGAGTTTCTTCAACAGATCAATTTCACCCTTGTATCCAGCTATTGCTGCCATATCAGCCTCCTCGAGATTTACCCTTTTCAAGGCAAAGATCTTGTAGTTCTCCGCCATGATTCGGAAGACCCTGGAAGACCCTCCTCGCCCTATGCAGTCAAGCCGCCTGTACGTCTTCCCATTCAGAACGTAATGGACCGATTTCTTGTTTCTAGATCCTGCATTCGAAGTGGCTGCATCTAGAATGGACATCTTTGGCGGTGGAGCAGGAGCCGGTCTATGGGCAACATTGTTCGATCTGGCTGCTAGTGGTTGTCGGGACGGGGAGGACTGTGGCGGTACAGGGTCTGCCTGTTTCTGGTCCAAATGAGGCTCGTCTTCATGCACCTCCAGAATTGCAGAGGTGGCTTTTGCTCTTCGAAAAGTTGGCGGTGGTTCATTTTCTTGATCTTGTGCTGAGGGGTGTGATGGTAAAGGAGGGATTTTGAAGATTGGATTCCTTTGGTTACTGGAAGTTTTCGACGACGGCTGCGACTCACGAGTGCCAGGCGTTGGTAGAGCAGACCCGTGGACAGATGCAGGTCTCGATGGTGCTGGATCGGGAATTGCTTGCTCCTGTTGCTGATCCTGGGGTTGTTCCTTGGGCTGCTCGGGCGATATCGGCTTGTACGAGATTTGAGATGGTCTGACCCGTTTTGGACTGCCTTGAAGGGCGAGTAAATCATCCGGTAAATCTTCCAGATCAGGTTCTTTGGCTCTGCGACCCATTTCGATCTCGGGAGTTCTCGAGCGTTCGCCTTCTTGGTGCTCCAAGCTTACGTCCTCCTCTTCGCTCTGGCGGCGCACCATTCCTCTCCTTACAGGTCTGTTCAGCAAGGCGCCCCCTACACGTCGGACTCGCATCGTACTCTGAGCCCCATTCTCTTCACCTCGTCGGGATCGCCTGGTTGTGGACGGTATTGCAGCACCTTCCTCTTCCGGGCTGCTGTGAGGTTCATGAGACTGCGGGCTGTGGGAACGGCCGGAGGATTGGGGTGCGTCTCCCAGCGGCTGTTGCTGCTGGGCTGAGTCGGATGCTTGCTTGGAGGGTGGCGATCTTGACAGACGCCTTGAGTCGCTTATGCGAATCCGCCGTATCCGTGGGGCGGGGGTTTGTGAGTCGTGGGATTCTGGATGAAAACGCGCAGCTGATCTTTCGTGGATTTTGTACATGAACGATCCATCCCTTCCCAAGATCACATGTGGTCCAGGACGAGCGCCCGCAGTGACTCGAACGAGGCGTGGAGCAGGGCTACCATCCCTGTGATGGAGCGGGCTAGACTTCCTGAGTATATCAATGGGAGTGCCTCTGCCCTCTCGGTGTGGTTCGCCCATCGCCTTCGCATTTTGGACCTCTGGCGCCCAATTTTCCTTGTTCGTTCCCGACTGCGAGTCAACTTCTCCTAATATAGCCTGCGCTTCTGCACTGAGCTTTATGGGGGCAAGCTCCTCATCATCAGAGCTGTCGCCGGTCATGTTTCGAGCAGACTGAAAATCGGACGCTGCAGTGGTCACATGCGTCGATGGCTGACTGCGGGTTGTTGCGAGTCGCGTCGTGGTTCGGAGGTGCGATCGACGAGAGTTGCTGAGACTGGAAGCAAAGACAGCAGGTGTCGGCGTAGCATAAGTAGCCATCCTAAAGATTGACTAGCATGGGGTATCGATATTCATGGACAACCTCATTGCTTGTGGTTGAATCTGGTTGACAACTCGCAATCAAAGGAATTCCGGCGAACGCGATTGGGAGTGAGTCTGAGGAGGCGGCGTCGGATAAATTCCGGCCCGGTCAACACAGTCGTTGTCACGGCAACCAGAGAAGAGATGACCGCCGCAAAGTTGAGAGCAAGATACAGGTTGAGGTCTCCCATGCTCTTTCAGGAGTTGTATTAATACTATTATTATTGCAGTAATTTCTTGAGGAGAACCTCATAGCTCTATTCCGAGACGAAATGATCGAGTAATCCGCCAAAACATGGATGCCTGCCCGAGATGCGTATCCTAATATACCTATTCCAGCGCCAATGCCAAACAGATGCTCGCTCATCACAAACTTTTCGCTCCAACTAAAGCCCACTCAACAACGATGCAAGCATTAAGCCGCTAAGAATCACCGAGAATGGGAGCATAGTATGTTAGCTGATACGGACTGCGCTCGGATTCGGTACGAATGCACCACAGCTCGAACTTTAGAGCATGAAGGTAAATCCAGCGAAGATACCTGCGCACAACAGTCCCAGTCCATAGATCTGGCCAACGTCCAGGAATACCCTTGTAGCAGCCGAGCTCCCTGAGCCAGCAGAGGCCGCCGTAGTGGCAGCTGCACCACCACCAAAGCCAGTGTATATTACTCCGTCAGAAGCAGTCGAAGCAGCAGCGCCTGCGGTAGTGCTTGTGGCTGGCATAGTGGTGATTGTGCTTGTATTGACTCTTGTAGGGTTGGTTGCTCCACACGGATGATCTTGGACACATGCAGCAGCACAATCGTTGTTGTTGCCACAGGCAGCTTGACAATCCGAGTTGTACTGGGTGCAGATATAATACGGAAGGGTTTGAGAGTACTCGGAGGCATTGGGAGCGAGGCCGTTTGAGCAGACACAGCTGTAAGTGAGGCTGGTAGCGTCACAGGTGTTGGAGTCTGTGCCAGCCGAGTTGCCCTCCTCTTGCAGACAGATCAGCGGGCATTGTGAGATTTGCGAGTTACACCAGGCCTCTGTCATAGCATGTCAGTGTCTGTGACTGGATTGGACGGTTGGTCTGGTCACTTACGCCTGGTGGAAAGAGGAACCGAATTCGGGTCAATTGTTTGTGTGATAGCAAGGCGGGCGAGGACAGCCACGGCTGCAGTGAAAAGAAGGGATCGCATGGTGGGATTAAGCTGTCTTCTGGCGGCTCTCGAGCACGGCTTCCACTGTATTCAAGACCGAAAGATTATCAATAGAGAATGGGAGTGAACGAGGCAGACGGCAGAGGACGGAATGAGCCCAACTTCGCTCAGAGTGCAGCCTATGTAAGAACGAGTGGAAGAGAGGTCGAGAAAGCAAACAGAGCTGCCCGTGGACAGGAAAGGGATAAATACTCAAGCCATGGACCTAACACGTTCACAAAGAGGGTGGAGGAAGCAGGGTTGAATCCAGTCCGTCGAGGTGCCAGTTTTTCGCTTACGCTGTAAACCCTTTCCACCTTGCCGCGACATTCTTCTTCCCGCCGCCCGAAGCTCCTCCATAAGTGGACAGATTGAGTCTGAGCACGCAGTCTGGCATGGCTGTAGCACTCTTGAATGGGGAATGATTCGTGTGGGAGGGTGACTTGTCTCAGAGATGCAGCATGTCCGAGGAATGTCAAATCCGCAGCCACGGTCTGCTTGCTTTGGGAGGCCGTGGACATGGGGAAGCCAGGACTGCAACGCCCAATCGCCCTCCCCTCCAAGGCCTTAGGAGCCCCGGGCCCCATGAATGCACCACTCACGCCTAAGCCGCGCCCGCCGCCTAGGCAGAGTTCGTGTTAGCCGTCGTACTAATACTATCCGACTCTGCAGTCTACCTGGTACAGGTCCATGGGTCTTTGATGGCCAGTAGTGCCGCAACGCCTTTCCCCAGGGCCTTTCATGTCTCATCGCACAAGAAGATAGGCCGTCGTTAAGAGGAGGATTCTGAAGTGCTATTCTTCTACAACTTGCCACGCTGCCTGTGTACAGAGTACCTGAGAGAGCTTGTGGAGGGCTCACCCGAATATCGCGACTGGCAGTTTTCCTGAACAGGACTAGCTCTGGTATGTAGGGTAAGAGGTATTTCGCACACAGGGGTGTGTATTTCGCATATATACTAAGGCGCCGTCTCGCGCTAACGGACGCTACCCGCTTTTAGTCACCTAATACTATATTTCGTATATATTAATTATATAATCCTAATCTAACTAATTAGAGAGCTCTATTTTAATAAGATTACGTAATATTAATAAATTAAAATTAACTAATTAGAGCGCGTTATTAAACTAGTATTTAGTAAGTAGAAAAATAATATTAATAGTATTACGAAGAATACTTAATAGGCTCTATAGGGATATAAGAGTAAGAATAACCTACCTTATATAGTTATATATAAAGTATAGAGAGAGTATATCAGGAACTAACCTATAGGGTATCCTGTATAAGGCAGAAGACGGAACCGGAAAGAGATTTAAGAGAAAAGTAAGTCGAGACTAAGATACGTAAGGAGTTACATAACGATAGAGTAATTTATAGCTCTATAGTACTCTAGGAATAGAGTAATACAGTAGAATAAAGTAGAAAGAGATCTATAGCTCTAGATTATTATTATTATTAATTCCTTTTAACGTCCAGTAATCACCCTTCGCGGGCCTATGAAGACGGTTCTCTCTTCCCTATCCCTCCTTGCTTACTCCCGCTCTTGTTCGCTCTCTCCCTCCCTCTCCATCTCTTCCTCTTCGTCCCTTGTTGCTATCTCTCCTTCGTCGCCCTCCTCCCCCACCTCTCTGTAGTTCCTGTACTGTGCCAGCAGGTCTGTGGCCAGGACTAGGCGGGCCGCCTCAAGGCACCCTTGTCTTGTGCTGAGTATCGCGGCTAGGGAGTCCCCAGTGTTGTTCCTAATGACTCTTGCTCGTAGCTCGTTCCACCGCCGGCATTTCAGTATAACGTGTTCCACCGTCATCTCCTCTCCGCTCTCACACTGTAAACAGAGAGGGCTGTCAACCCCGGGCACTCTTCTCTTGTAGAGGAAAGCATTGAAGCCGATTTGTCCTGTCCTGAGTTGGACGATCAGCGCTGACAGGTGTTTCCGTAGTCCACGATGGACTTTGCATGTTTTCCTGTTCAGCTTTGGTTGGAGTGATCGACTGTGGGCACCTTTTACCCCTTTCTCCCATCTTTCATCCCATTTTCGATACATTTCCTTCATCAGACTTTTCTTAGCCGACCGGGAGTCTTTCTGGTCACCCTCTAGACTCAGCACCACGTTAATTTCCCTGGCCTTACTCTCTACCCACTTCTTCAGGGTTTGAAAGGGACTATTTGGCTGTGGAGTCCTTCCTCTTCTTCTACCGGCTCGAAGAATTACTGCGGTCCTTCCTTCGATGCTTTGTAGCGTCTTTGATTTTATCGCCCTGGCTGTCGCTAGGTAGGTGAGTGTATCGGTGTGTAGGTCTAACGGTTCGACGCCGAGCTCTGCCTCTAGAGCCTCTGTTGCTGTGGCCCTATATGCCCCGGCGACCACTCTCAAGAATTTTCCTT